TTCCAGGGTGGCCCCACGGGCTAAATGAAAGTACCCTTGAGTTTGACACCCCTGCTATATGGTTTATTGAATGACCTAAGTACAAACTATAGGGCAAAACTTTGGAAGTCCATCAGGTTGTACCACTTCTTTCAGTTTCATGGTGGCAGATGCCTACCGTTGGAATGCAAAGCCTGAAGAAAGGGAATCTCAACCTTCAAAATTGGTAGGAGTACAATTCTCAGAATTCCCCACCCAGCATGGATAATTCATCTGGAAAGCGTTAGGTTGGAAATGGCTGCCTTACAGAATTAAACAAGCAAGTTTTCATCCTTCAAGTGTTTTGATTTATTTGACAGAGATGCTCAACTAACGGAATTAATGCACGCAGGAGACTAAACTACCCATCCCAGAGATAAATCGACAGAGACAGATCAAGTTGCAGGGGGAATCTATTAAAAGACAGACGGAAACAGAATAACAGAACACCGCTGGTTATCAAATCACTTAGACGTATTATTAATTAGTTGCAGCCAACACTGGATGATGATGCATTTTCTCAGGCACTGAGTGGTAGATTTTTCCTTGCATCTAGACAACTCAATCTGAAACGGACGCTCACAAGCAGCAACAACGCAGCATGCAAACATTGGCAGATTCTGCAATAAATCCAGTTGTCTACAGGTAGTCCTCAATTTATGGCAATTGAGCCCAAAATTTATGTAGTTAAGTGAGAAATTTGGTTGTTAAGAACATGGTTGTTAAGTGAATATGGCTCCCGGTTGACTTTGCTTGTCCCGGTTGACTTTGCTTTGCAAAAGGGGATCACATGACCCTGGGACACTGCAACTGTCATAAATATGAACCAGTTGTCAAGCATCCCAATGTAAATCATGTGACCACGGGGATGCTGCAACAGTCATAAGTGTGGAAAATGGTCATAAGTCACTTTTTTCAATGCCATTGAACTTCAAACAGTTACTAAACGAACTGTTGTAAGTCGAGGACTACCTGTACTTTGCCCCTTCATCCACGCCAATGCATCATCATTAAACCCTCCATGTACAAGCTTTAGAGTTATCCGCACATGTTTTTCCCCCAGTGTGACACATGCCATTGTCTTCCAGCAACCCCCCCCTCTGGATTCTACAGAAGTCAAATGTTATGCATAAGAATCAATGAACACAATGTTGACATCATAACTGAAAACAAGGACAATGTAGTTTCAGAACATATCAACCTTCAATGACATTCCATGGCAAAGTTCAAACTGAATGTTTTTAAAAAAGACAAACTTGAACTGCCCCCATTGGCTGAGAAATTGTTGAATTTACATACATCACAACATTTCAGGCAATCACAGAGGATCACAACACAATGAGTTTTAAACACATGACAATGATTAATTGGTAAGGTACTGTTCTGTCCCCGTCTCACACACGCACACCAGCAGTCGACCAAGAGTTAAAATAAACCAGCAGACAAGAATTTCCTTTGATAACAGAATTGGCAGCAACCCAATGGCTGCTTGCCAAAAGTTTTTACTTACAAAGGGAGGTTTTTCTCCTCCGTCCGAAACATCAAAGTAAGTCCACAAAAGCCAAAGAATAGTCAAGTCCAGTCCAAAAATCAATCCAAGCAGAGCATATAACAAAGTTCCAGAAATGCAGAATGACTCGCTAGCTTTGTTTTGTTCGTCACAAGGCTTGACTGGCCACCACATCCCCTTTTATCCCCTGTGGGGTGTGGTCCAGTAACTCAGCTTAATCTCTGGCATGCCTCTTTCTCTGCTGCGCGCGCTTATCTCTGCGACGCTGTCGGGGCTCCAGCCAAGACTCATCTCCATCGCTGTCCAACTGTGGCTGCTCCGAAGTGCCTGGCCCCTGGCCTATCTCTTGGCCTTCGGAGGACACCTGAGGCATTGCCAGAGAGGAGGGTCCTGGAGAGGGAGGCCTTGCCAACTCCTCTCCTTCACTTTTGGAGTCTTCTCCCTCTGATAAAACAGGCTTGGGGGTCGGAGTCACAAGGTACTTGTAGGGGGTGCATGGGGTGGGATGGCTCAGAGATTAAAGATGCTGAGCTTGTGGAAAGCTGACAGCCCAGGTTTGAGAGCCGAGCACTGTGTGACGGGGTGAGCTCCCGTTACTTGCCTCAGATACTGCCAATCTAACAGTTCAAAAGCGTGCAAATGCAAGTGGATAAAAACAGTGTATTCAGAAAGTATTCAGAACCTCCTCACTGCTGTCAATTTTGTTATGCCGCAGCCTGACTCTACAGTTATTGAAATTCATTTTTTTCTTATTAATCTACACTCAGTGCCCCATAATGACAAAGAAAACCAGAATTTTAGTAATGTTTGTAAATTTATTAAATGCACTGTAGGTACCAATTTGATGGGAAGGTGACAATATTCCATGCACCTTGGCGTATAGTCATGACCACATGACCACATAAGCTTCTTCAGACAATGCTGGCTCCGGTATTCACTTACCAGTATTCACTTACCTTCGTTACCAGTTCGCATGTGCAGAGCACCAAAAACGGGACGTGATGATGTCCGGGTGGGTAGGCAGAGCCTCCCTCAGCTGCCGCTACTGGTTCGTCTGAACTGGATAGAACCAGCTGAATACCACCACTGGCTGCCTCCCTTGCTCAAGAAATTAAGATCAGCACCGCCCCCTAGAGCTGGACATGACTGGACAGGGGAAACCTTTACCTTTCTTTACTTTAAGATATTTGTAATCTAAAAAGCCAGTTTGGTGGAGTGGTGAAGGCACCAAGCTAAAAACTAGGGGACGTTCTGCCTGGGGCACAAAGCCAGCTGGGTGACCTTGGGCCAGTCCCTCTGTCAAATCTAGGAAGATGACATCAGCAAACCACCTCTGAAACCTTGCCAAGAGTACTGCAAGGACTTGTTCAGGCAGTCACCAGGAGTCAAAAATGGACTTGAAGACACCCCAAAATAAAAACCCCAAACAAAACCCTGCCCCACATACAAACTCTATATGCAAAACTATTGTCACCTTCCTTCCCTACACCTTACCCCAGTTTAAATTCTTCATCAGACTAACCACTCTATACATCTAATCAAGCAAGCTGCATTCATGAAAGCTTAGACAAGGGCTGTCAAACTCCCGGCCCGCGGGCTGGATATGTCATGGGCTGGCCATGCCCACACTCGGTTTAGCAAAGAGGGAAAAAGTCCTGATATGTCATGTGATGCCAACGTGACGACGTGAGTTTGACACTCCTGGCTTAGACCTTTTAATCAAATTTGTTAGCTGGAAAAGTACTTCCAGACTCCTGATTTTTTGCTATCATGGATTCCCAAGGCTCTACTCCTGCAACATCTGTTCATATCACTCAATGGTGAAATCCAATTTTTTTTACTACCAGTTCTGTGGGCGTGGCAGGGGAAGGATACTGCAAAATCTCCATTCCCATCCCACTCCAGGGGAAGGATACTGCAAAATCTCCATTCCCACCCAACTCTGGGGCCAGCCAGAGGTGGTATTTGCCGGTTCTCCAAACTACTCAAAATTTCCACTACCGGTTCTCCAGAACCTGTCAGAACCTGCTGGATTTCACCCGATATCACCTGAAATAAAAGTTCATGCTGTAACGGAGTAATTGCCTCAACCGTGTTAAGAATTTTGGTTGGAATAACACAAGGAGTTTTTAACATATTAGTTTATTTTATTTTTATTTTTATTTTATTTTTGGATTTATATACCACCCTACTCCCGGAGGACTCAGGGTGGTGAACAGCCAAAAGATAAAACACACATAATACAAAATTTAAAAAACCATATAAAAACACATTAAATAATTTGGCCTATACAGATTAAAACACCCCTATTGTTTTAAAACAAATTTAAAATTAACAATTAAGAGGAAGTTAGGCCAGGCCAGCCTGTTGAAATAAAATTGATAAGGTACTTCTAATCTATAATATAAAAGTAGTAAATGTGGGAAGGACCAAAACTGGGCAGATCAACATTACAGGATATCTTTATCTATGGAAGCTTATGGGGTGACTTTGGTGCTGTCACTTGCAGCCCAACACCAGAGGGTTGGTGTTTGGGGAAAACATTTGAAAAAAGGATGTTACATGTGCTGTTTTGAGTTTCCAGAAGAAAGGTAGGATAGAAATCTAATGAAGCACGTTTAACAAAATTCATGGAATTGAATCTTCTATAGGCTCTGTGATTTCATGCAATTGGACGCAGATACTTCTCTTAAGTCACTCTTTAAATTAGATGTCAGCAGCTTTAAAATTAAATGAGAAATGGGTGCAAGTTTTATATTGAAAAGGAAGTTATATGTGGCCGAACATCAGGCCTGAGCCAGAAATGCCTGTTTTAATTCAATCAATCAATAAATCAGAATAGAGCTGGAAGGAATCTTGGAGGTTTTCTAGCCCAACCTTCTGCTCAAGCAGGAAACCCAATACAATTTGGGGACAAGTGGCTCTTCTTAAAATCCTCCAATGATGAAGCACCAACAGCGTCTGAAGGCAAGCTGTTCCATTCACAAAATAACCTAGGTATAAAAGAATTGGAAACCACTGCCTACAGCACAAGAGGATTAAGTCTCTCTATCCGGGGAAATTAGCAGGAGTCGTAGGCATCGCCTCTGGCACGAATAGCCTTGCGCCCTTGAACAAAGTATACGTCTGAAGCACAATTATTTTTTTTTTTAACCTAAGTCCCAGAACAAAAGGGAGCCCCAGGGCGATCGCGTTGCATCAGGAAGCACCTTCACGCGGTATTATTGCAGGGTCGACGGCTGTTCAAAACGGAAGAAATATTGGATGAGGATCGATCGTTTCCTGAATTGATTTTCGAAGGCACAAACAGCAGCCCGCACCTCGGCTTCCTTCCTGCCAACGGAGGGCCGTAATCTAATTCCGGCCAGAGCCCCGAGGCCTGCCTAGGCGTGGCCCAGCATTGCGCTTTTCATCTGGCCTCACTACTTTCTCCTCCCCCCCCCCCCTTCTCTCTCTTTCTCTCCCCCCTTTCTCCCCCCCCCCCTCTTCTTTCCCAGGCCCAATGAGGTCAGCGCCGGAATAAAACCGCTGCAGTTTCCCGAGACGCCCTGACTCGGCTTGGGGCTTCTTCGCACATCCTCTGCGTGGCTGCCACGAAGTCGGGCAGGGTAAGTCAGCGCTCAGTTTAGGTGTGTGTGTGTGTGTGTGTGTGTGTGTGAGGAAAAGGTGGGCCGTCGCATCGCTGCTCAGCAAAGCGAAAAGCCGAACAAGTTTGGGAGTCTTTTAGAGCGTGAGGGGGGTGAGAGGGGGAGAGAGTGACCCCCAGTGCGCAAGCAAAGGGTGTTGATTGATTCATCGATTGCAACAAAAAGGGGACTTTGCAAAGCGATTATAGTTGGGAAGTCAATGCAATAACAAAGAGATTCGGGGGTGGGGGTGGGGTAATGGAGGGATGCCCGGCGCTAGCCTGGCGCTTCGTGACCTTCTTCTCTTTTGTTTCTCCTCTCCCCCTCCCCCACTTTCCACTCCCCCTCCCCCACTCCTGGCAACTGTTTTCAGTGGGGAAACGGGCAGCGTCGCGACGTTCCGCCGCTGCTTTGATTTCCCCACGTGACGAGATCCCGGGAGACCACTGCGGGGAGAGGGGAGATAGCGGAAGGTTCTTGGTGTTAGGTCCAGGTTGGCTCTAGGGAGTGTTTCTAATTACCGGCAGGAGAGAATACGAGTCGCTCGGGGTTCAACTGAGAGCAGCATCGCAGGATTTCTCGTTGGTTATGACGCCGTAGGGTGCGAGCCACCGTTTGTCCGGATGGATGAGCAGCCTGGGCTTGGGATCGCCAAGCCGTGAAGGGATCCCTCGGCGGATGCCCTTGAGAGCCGGCGTTGGCTGCACCTGTGCAGCGGTCCGATGTGCCGCCGCGGAAATTCCGGAGGGAAAAAGGCTGGTACTGCTGGTAGGTCAATTGCCGTAAGGGTTAATTGTATTAATTAATTGCTGTAAAGAGAGATGGCATTCAGAGAATCCCCAAGCCTTAGAAAGAACTTTGTTCCTTTTCCTTTGTTTTAAACAACCGAAAAGTCTTTGTGATAAAACTTTGATTTCAGATTGTAAAGTACTTGTAAAACATGGAAGCTATCTACATAGACCTTAGGTGTGAGTTTTACAGCTTGTTTGCAAATAAAGGCAATTGAGAAGCGCAAAGCTTTTTGTCCCAAACAGACTTACTTACCCACCACTGAACTCAAAAAGTTATACACAAAGTAGAATTATTGTTTATCTTGTCCATTTCATGATTTGTGTGTGTTTGTTAAAATTGGAGTTCTGGAGTATTGAAGATTCTCATTTTTAATCTCTCTCATTCTTTGATAACTACTTGATTGTAGCTACCTGCACTGTAAGATATTTCTGTTAGTGCACTTTTAAAATACTTTGCCATCATTGTTATTATAATTTTGTGAGCCAGCTGTATTATAATCTTTGCAGCAGTGGTACTCAAATAAACATTGTCTTACTCTGACACATTTTAGTTAATAACCTGGTGTAAATTGTTAGGATCTGAGGACAGCTTACTCATGACAAGTTTAAATAGGTAAGCAATGTGCATGCACTTATACAATTAATAATAATGCTGAAATTGTAAATTTAATGCTTCAGTGACATGGTAAAAGATTATTATTGTGCCAAACATATTACAGCATCAGATAGGTGTTGGGGTTTTTTTTTATTTTATGTGATATTTGGGGATGTTTTTGTTTGAGTCTTGCTGTAGGTTACAGAGAATTACATTAAACAGCCCTATAAATCTATTACATAAATAAGTAAATAACAATATTGGCTAAGAGAGGTCACCTTGAGAAAGTTTTAAGAATTGTAGACTACTTTTTTATATTTAATTGAACAAATCAACTTTGGGATTCTGCTTCTGCTATGCAAACAATTACATGTATGCAAATACAGCAAGAAAAAAATCCTACTTAATCAGGGATTAATCATTAGATCAATCTTCTCTAACTTGATACCTTTCTTGTATTGAAATATAGTTCCCGGACTCTCAGGCCAGATGTAATCAGCTAGGTAGAACGATGAAAACAGGACACAAAAAGTATTTGGAGAATACCCAGCTAGGGAAGGTGTGGTTCATCTGTGTTCATAATTTAAATAAATGGTTGATACTCTCATGTGAAACTTTTTCATACTTTTCCTTTGTTTTGGTGTTCATATGAAGTGGAGTAAAACAGAATTTAGATTTGCACATTGATATATATGCAAATTTAGCTACAGTAAGCCTTACAAAGCAAACCATCCTTTATTCAAGAATGAAGATTGTTTCATATTTCACACTCTTGTTTCTAATACTTGGAAAGAAACACTTGGCTGGTGTGGTTGTACAAACTGACAATTTTTAATAGCTAACAGCAAAATTTGAATTTGAATTACACAAAGGCTGCAATGCTACATTCACTTTGCTTTGTAACTTGTATTCATTGGGGCTTGCTTCAAATTAAAGTGACTTAGCATTGCTTTTGACTTCACAATTGATAGCTTAAAGATGTACCTACTGAAAGCAATTTATTCAATCTCTTCCTCCCGTCACTGATATTCTTATTTGAATAAATTTAAGTGTTTATTTTTTATCATAATTGTTTGAGTTTTCATTGTCCCTGAATACCCCTCAACACATTCAGAGTTTGTTAGGAAGCATAGATAAAATATGGGAAGAAGGTAGGGGGAAACCTGTTATTTGCTCCCATTAAAAGGCAGTATTAGGGATATGATGCATATGTGGAATTAGAGTTTTCTAACAGATCTCTTACTGATTTGTTTTACAGCATGTTAAATATGGATTATTTTAAGTTTCATCACAGTTTTTTCCTCCCAGCTAGAAGAGACTGTTTTTAACTATGCTGGACTTTGTAGGCATAGACAAATCTGTTTTGAAGCTACCGAATGGATCCATCCTCACCGATCTGTGGAAGTACTTTGGAACATGTGGCTTGTGGTAGCACTTTAAAAAAAGTAGCTTCAGCTAGAGGATTCAGTCCGTTCACATGAGAAATGAGGACTGCTTGTTGCTTCAGGAATTTAAAAGCAAGCTTCCAGTCAGTGGCTGCATCTTTTGCATCTAAGATTGTGAGCTAACCTCTTGGAACAATTTCAAAACTCCACCCCTTTTATTATAGGCACATTGTTCTTCATGTGGTGAATAGGCTTGCTTTGTGTTGAGTGGCAGTGCTGTTGACAAGGCTTCTGTGTGTGCTTCTTTCACCAGCCGAGGGAGGGAGGGAGGGAGGGCAGGAAGACAATGAGCCAGAGAGGGCTGAATATTTCAGCAACACCTCTGATTTAGCCATGAGCCAGCCGCCTAGCGGAGGTGGTCCTGCAACCGCCTCTCCTCGTTTGCTTCCTGAGGGCAGCAGCAGCCGAACTAAGCAGCAGCGTGCATTCTCTCCGGGCAGACCCAAGGAGTCTCTTGTCCGCCAGCCTTTGCCAGCTGCCAATTCATCCCGCTTCACAACAGCAGCAGCTGCAGTTCCTGCCTCGAAAGCAAGCTCTACCCGGCAACAGCTATTGCAGCAGTCACCAACAGGACAGAAAACTAGTCGGGTCAAGGGTGGAGTAGCCGAAGGAGACAAGCTGCCTCCACAGGTTACGCCAACAAGGAGCTCGGTGCTGTTGGGAGCTGTCCATGCTGGGGATGGTGCTGAAGAGCAGCCTGCCTCATTCCTGGTCTCGGCTGGAGGGTGTCCCAGACCAAATCCAGGGTCTGCAGCCGAAGCACGAGAGGCACCTCCCAAAGACACCGAGTTTACAGGTCCTAGAGTTGGAGAGCAACAGCTTGTATCTGGAGGGAAGGGGGAAAGGGTGGGCAGTTTTGTGCTTTCTCAGCTTCCATCCAAGAACTGGAACAGGGGTAAAACAAACAAGCAGAAGAGTGCAGGAGAGGCAACTTCAGCTTCTTCGTCTTCTTGTGGTTCAGGGAAAGGCCAGGCTCTATCAGTGAACAATGGCAACTACTGGAAAGAAGGATGCCTCCAAAATGAGCTCATTCAGTTTCATCTCAGGAAAGGGTTATCAGCAACCCAGATGCAGAACAAAGGTAACAACAAAGCTAACGGTAACGGGGGCAGTTTGCCCTCCTCAACATCCTTACCCATCGTGCTGCCTGCAAATGAAGGTAGCAATGGCCTCAGTGGAACTGTGGAAGTCAACATGACTCAGGAATCCCAGCAGCAGGAGCTGCAGGAAGAGATGGAGAAACTGGAGGAGGAGAATGAAAACCTCAAGGTGAGCAAAAGATACAGAAGGGAAGGAATAATGGGGGTGTGCCTCAGTTCTAGTGTGTATGTGCACATGCTGGTAATGTTTTAGTCTGTTCCACAGAAGAAAGGAAAAGGAATGCTAATGGTGAATTCTGCTTTGATGAGACCAAGTTGTTGTTAAGATACGTGCTGGTTTGCTTCGTGGTTTAACAGAAGGGTTGGCTATGAACTTCGATATGATTATACCTGTAATACAGTATTTCCCTTGTCAGGCAGGATTTTTTAAAATATATTTCACCCTGTATTCTAGAGGATAACCTCTGATTTGCTTTTCCTATTGTATAGAAAATTGACTAAATAGCTAAATAATAATAATAATAATAATAATAATAATAATAATAATAATAATAATAATAATAATAATAATAATAATACTTTTATTTATATACCGCCATCCTCCCGAAGGACTCGGGGTGGTGTACAGCCAAAATTAAAAACATAAATATACAATATCATAGTTAAAATTAATTAAAATCATTAAATAGTTTTGGCCGAATTTTAAAACCCAAAGTTAAAACCCAATTTAAAATCATTCAATTAGACAGCCCTGCCTGTCGGAACAGTAGGGTCTCGAGGGCACAGCGAAAGACCCGGAGATCAGAGATGTTACGAATATAAGTTAATATGAGGTTCAATCTAGCAAACTGACAAAGTAAAAGAGTTAATAACCTAGTGGTACTTACAACTCCATAAAATAATAATCTGTGACTTCTCATAAATTGAGTTGCACAAAATAAAGGCAAGATATAAATCTAATAAATGAATCAAATAAATAAAATAAAGATAATGGTTTCATTGAGGTCAGGGTTGGGCAAGAAGTATGACATACACTTAATATTTAATGGTTAACATTTTTTTTCTATGTTCCTCAAAGATTTTCAGACTTTGTGGTATATAAACTGCCCTCTATGGACTTGCTAAGGCAAACTGTGGATTAAAGACCATATTTTGATTTGATAATACTTCTGCTTTGCTTACATTTTAGAGAAATTGGGACTACCCTCTAAATTACTCTTGATTCTCTAGTGGCCTCAATCCAATTTGAGATTCCGTGAGTTGTGGACATTTAGAAATTATTATTTTCTAAATAAATGTTCTACGATTATTGCACCTGTAAAAGATAAAAATATGTAGATAGTTGAATATGATTTGTCAGATGTTCTAGTCCCTTCTTCATGCTTCTCATTACCACATACATGTATTATAGAACATACATGGCTGACATTTGGGAATTCTCCTTCTGGCTTATGGAGCAGTTTCATTGTGCTACAATTGCACATGCTTCTTTTCATGCCTTCTTTTGGCCAATTCAAGGAATATTTGAAATATAAATGGATCAATTCTTAATTTGGGATCACAGTTTTTTTCTTCTGCCATTTGTAATACTTGCAAGCATAAGGAAGCTAGGTGGGAAACCATATGTTTCTCTTATAACAGTTATTTAAGAACCATGGGTAAATTACCATATCTTGTGTTCTTTATCAATGTGACCTGATGTCATTTTACACTTTTTATCTGTTCCTTCTGAACATGTGCCAGAATGAAATAGACGAACTTAGAACTGAAATGGATGAAATGAGGGACAGCTTTTTTGAAGAGGATGCTTGCCAGCTTCAGGAAGTGCGCCATGAATTAGAGAGAGCTAACAAAAACTGTAGAATCCTTCAGTATCGTCTTCGAAAAGCAGAACGGAAGAAGCTCCGCTATGCACAGACTGGAGAAATCGATGGAGAACTTCTCCGTAGCTTGGAACAGGATTTAAAGGTAATGTGGGGCCAGAAGATGAGCAATTAGTGAGAAGAACAATCTGACTATGATACCTTTACTTATCCTAATCTTTTCCGGGAAGGCAAATGTAGCATAAGTCTGAGCTGTCTTGTGGTTTTGGCAACTGGAATTTAATTATCTAAAGCAGAGTAAGCAAAATGGTACTGTCATGATATTTGGGACATTTTTCATCAATCAGAACCAACCTGATTTGTCAATTGTGAGACTCATAGTCCAAAACATCTAGAGGTTATCAGAATGACATATCTCTCATTTTTTACTCCCCCCCCCACCCTTTACTCAATTATTTAGAAGTATCCAAACACTAGGGAATCACTAGAAATCACATTCCAGGTCATCAATTTTCCAGATATTTCAAAGACTTCTAAGTGAAATTACAACCTTAAGACTTATAATTTAATTTAATTTTAGTGAATGCATTTAGAAATCAATGCTACATATCGTTTTTTTCCTTTGAATTGAAACAAAAAAAGGATATAACTCCAGTTAATGTTATAATCCCAGGATTAATGCAGAGATCCACAGAAATGGATCTCTGAAACTACAGTATGCAGAAATAGTTGCAAAATCAAAAGCGTGGTTTAAGTTTGGGAAATAGAAAGTGTGATAAAGAAGCTCAGACTGACTTTGTCCTAATTCAGTGAGATATAAGAGAGAGGGATGGGAAAACAGAACCCAGCTTTCAAGATTCTGTTATTACTTAAATCAATAAAGTATAGTTCCAGGTAGTCTATTTCCTAACGTGGCCTAGCTTGAAGGATTGACAGTCAGAGGCAAATAACTTGAGATATATATATATATATATTCCTTTGAGATGCTCAGTCTAGGAAAAAGGATATTAAACCATAAATCGTTTCATACCAACTTGAGAGGAAGAATATTAAAATGACTTTTATGAGACATTTGCCTGGACTACATATCAAACAAATTAATTACCCAATGCTTGGGTATGAGCAATAATAAAATAATTGCCTAGATTAAAGTATGAAATATAATTGCATTGCTTTGTAATAATACAAGAGTTTTTATTTTTAATAACAGCTACAGTAAAACATGTTCAATAGTTAACAAAATATTTTATACCAAGGTGGTTTTGGCTTTCCTAGGTCTACCGATGAACATATGTCCTTATCATTTACTGTACAGGTAATCCTTGATTTACAACAGTTCATTTAGTGACCGTTTAAAGTTACAACGGCACTGAAAAATGTGGCTTATGACCGTTTTTCAAAGTTACAACTTTTGGCAGCGTCCCTATGATCATATGATTAAAATTTGGATGTTTAGGAACTGGTTCATATTTATGACCATTGCTGTGTCCTGGGGTCATGTGATCACCTTTTGTGACCTTCTGACAAGCAAAGTCAACAGGGGAGACAGTTTCATTTAACAACCGGGTTACTAATTTAACAACTGCACTGATTCACTTACCAACTGTAGCAAGAAAGATCATAAAATGGGGCAAAACTCACTGAACAAATGTCTCACTTAACAGAAATTTTGGGCTCAATTGCAGTCGTAAATTGAGAACTACCTGTACTTCGTTAATTCAATTTTTGCTCTACTTTCCCTTCCTAAGGTTGTAATTCTCCTCAGATTAAGACTTCATGCCAGTTGCTGGCTGGATTGGGCCCATGATTCTAATGATCAAAGAATTAATCTTTAGGAATTCTATTCATCCTATTGCTGAGTATCAGAATAGATCTCAAAAGAGTAAACTGGAGTGCCTGAAGTAACCCTAATTGCACTCGTTTGTTTTTTTTTAATTAGGAAGAACATTTTATTCAGTATTTAATAGAACTAATATAAGTTGTCACAACACATCCCTGAACTTCACAAGCATATTAAGCTCTACTATGAAAGTTATTTTCTTGCTTGAAAATGTTAAATGTCTTTCCATGTAGGTTGCAAAAGATGTTTCCGTAAGGCTTCACCATGAGTTGGAAAATGTGGAAGAAAAACGCTCCACCACAGAAGATGAAAACGAAAAGTTGAGGCAGCAGCTGATAGAAGCTGAGATTACTAAACACGCTCTTCAGAATGAATTTGACAAAATAAAAGAGGTCAGTGATGAGCTTCTCATCAGGAGGGGGACAGGCAAAATTGGCTGAGGTGGGATAGGTACATCAAGGGTTGTAATATACTATTTCGCTATGTCTCCTGCTCAGGAGTGTGCTTCAAAAATTTTAGCAAGGGGTTCTTTGCCATTTGCTGGGTGGGCGTGGCCATGATGGGCATGGCCTAGTCGGCCTCCTGCACCATGGCAGTGGAGGGGTTTTACCCTCCCCGGGCTCCGGAGGCTTTTTTCAAGCCTCCGGGAGGGTGAAAACGGAGGCTGGAAAGGGGCCTGTTTCTGGCCTTCCCGAATTTCCAGTAGGTCTGTTTTTCACCCTCCCCGAGCCTCCCCGTGCGCCCTGCACTTAGCTACATCCAAAACGGGCTGTGTGGGGATGCCTGTGACGGGCGGGGCGGGGGGGCAGCCAGGAGTGGGTTTTGGGGGTTCTCTGAACTGCACAGAATCTTAGCTAGAGGTTCTCGCGAACCCCTGCAAACCCCCAGCAGCCCACCCCTGCTCCTGCCTCTTCTCTGACTGCACTGGTTACAGCTGATCTGTGGGCGAAAAGCAGTTTTGCTTTTCGGACAGGTTTGAAAGTCCATATATTATTTTATCATGGTAAACAACCTGCAGATCTGAGAAATGATTATTTCAGACTATTTTTTTTTTATTTTGATCTCTTTAGTGAATACAGTTGTGTTGAAAGCAGTACCTGACTCATAGCGTTTAAAAATGCCATCTGGTACTTATGAACTACTTTTAATTTTCGGCATGTTCCTTGCTATTGCATTTAGATCAATAAGAACAAGGACACTTAAAGAACATTTAATTAATCTGTCCTGGCCGTGTTTCAGCATAACCATCTCTGGATGATGAAACCAAAAATATAATTTAAAAAAAGCTGGGAATTTTCATATTGTTTGAATGGTGGCTTAATAAACTTGGATAGCATGCATCTAGTAAAATATTTGTTATATCTGCTCTTTCTTTTATAACAGTCCATGAAAAGAAGAGGAAGCAAAGATTTGCAAAAATCAGAAAAAAAGTCACAGCAGATGTCCGCTGAGGTGATACAGAATATTTTTATGTACAATACAGCAAACCATATGACCATTTAAATTCATTTAGTGACCATTTGAAGTTACAACAGCACTGAAAAAAGTGACTTATGACCCATTTTTCACACTTATGACCATTGCAGCATCCCCATTGTCACATGATGTTCTGACCTAGGCTTCCCCAAATCACGAAGCAGACTCCTTGTCCCGACAAAAAACCCTTTTTATTAAGTTACTGTGAATTCTTCTCATTCACATCCAGCAAAGTCTTTCAAGGGTGAATTTACAGTCACAGACCTTATCCGGCTAGGGCAGCTGCCAGGCTGATACCTAATTGTCTCCTGCAAACTCCACTCTCCTTTCTCTCCTCTTTTATTTCCTCTGGGAGGGGCCATTCATCATCCACCTGTGGCCTTACTCCCAAGTTGACCCTTGTTCTGTAGCTGTTCCCTTCATCTGGCAACTCTGCGCATGTGCACACTGGGAACAGGCTCCAACTGTTTATCTGCCTCACTGATGTCTGACTCCGAAGGCAACTGATAACTGGCATATGTCCTGGCCCTCTCTCTGCCTCAGACTCAGAACCCTCATCAGAGCCTTCCCCAGACTCCAGGACTGGCCCATGTTCCTCCTCAACCTTCTTACTGTTTGAATCCGCGGCCAGCTCTGCTGGCCACTGGCGGGCCACAACACATGATATACATTCAGGTTCTTGACAACTGGTTGCAATGTCCCAGAGTCATGTGATCCCCTTTTGCAACCTTATGACAAGCAAAGTCAATGGGGAAGCAGATTCACTTAACAACTGTGTTACTAATTTAACAATGCAGTGATTCACTTAACAAAGGTGGCAAGAAAAGTCATAAAATGGGGCAAAACTCACTCAACAAATTTCTCACTAAGCAACATAAGTTCTGGGCTCAATTGCGGTCGTAAGTCGAGGATTCCTTATAGATGGTTGCAAACCTTTCCTTAGTCAACTGTGTGAAAACCAGAGCTCTTTTTATGAAACTCATTCATCAGATTAGGACCCAAATGATCATGTTTCTGTAGACAGCAAAGTTTGCAACTGAATACTGGAGTCACACTTTTTGTTGCAAGTGTGGCATCAAGACACCCTGTCAATTCCCATGTTACTCCTCTAACCTATCTGCCTGCCTGCCTACCATATATGTATATATTTGTATTTATTGAATATATTGGTATTTTGTGCTAAATTTTTATTTGGCATCCTCATGAGTAAAGCAATATAACCAGGGATTATTCTTTCTTTGCCACAGGAGGACAGTGAAGATCTGAAATGCCAATTGCAATTTGTCAAAGAAGAGGCTACTCTGATGAGAAAAAAATTAGCCAAAGTTGACAAGGAAAAGGACAGATTTGAGCATGATCTTCAGAAGTATCGGTCATTTTATGGTGATCTAGACAGCCCCTTACCAAAAGGGGAAGCAGGAGGTCCACCTAGCACAAGAGAAGCAGAACTCAAGCTCCGTCTGAGGTTAGTAGAGGAAGAAGCCAATATCCTTGGAAGGAAAATCGTGGAACTGGAAGTGGAAAACAGAGGACTGAAAGCAGAGCTTGATGACTTAAGAGGAGATGATTTCTCCGGGGAAGCCAACCCCCTCCTGGGAGAACCGAATGAATCTGTCTCAGAGTTACGACAACATCTGCAGTTAGTTGAAGATGAAACTGAACTGTTGAGGAGGAACTTATCTGATGCAGAAGAACAAAACAAACGTGTCACTGCAGAGCTGAACAAATACAAATACAAGACTGGAACTCACGATAGTTCACGACACCATGACAGCGCCAAGACGGAAATGCTTCAGGAAGAATTGAAGGCTGCCCGCATGCAAATTAATGAACTCAGTGGCAAAGTGATGCAGCTCCAATATGAGAACAGGATACTGTTGTCCAACATGCAGCGCTATGATTTAGCCTCTCATTTGGGGATCCGAGGGAGTCCCAGGGACAGCGATGCTGAAAGTGAGGCAGGGAAGAAAGAAAGTGACGAAGATTCCCGTCCCCCTCACCGCAAAAGAGAAGGGCCCATTGGTGGAGAAAGTGACTCAGAGGAGGTCCGCAACATCCGTTGCTTGACCCCTACAAGATCCTTCTATCCAACCCCGGTAAGTTGGCAGAAAAGCTTTAATGACCGGCAACAAACCAAGGACATCCGCTGTGAAGCTGAACGCCTGGGCAAAACTATTGACCGCTTGATTTCTGACACCAGCACTATCATAACTGAGGCGAGAATTTACGTGGCAAATGGGGACCTGTTTGGACTTCTGGATGACGAAGACGATGGAAGTAGGATACGGGAGCACGAACTTCTTTATCGGATCAATGCCCAGATGAAGACGTTTAGGAAAGAGCTCCAGGCCTTCATTGACAGGCTAGAAGTTCCAAAGCCTTCCGATGACCGAAGTACAGATGAACCTTTGTCAGTGAGTCAGGTAGATTTTTATTTAGTCAAGCCATTGAGGAGAAAGAGTTTCAGCCCAGGATACAAGTTAGATACTGAAGCTACGTTCATGTGAGGTTATGTGAGATGAAGAGGACACCCTTTAATTTCTATGATCGCAATTTAAATTTCTGAGATTATTGTTCCAATATTGGATTTTTAGGTTTTGTACAAGTATAGCATAAGAGGAAGACATTATTGAATACTTACTTATAAGAGCTCTGTAGGTTGATTAAAAAGTTGAATAGTAAATAGTCATTTGTTTAGCTTTTTTAAAATTCACCCATATTATTAAAGGATTTATAAAACTTATATACCGTATTTTTCAGAGTATAAGACGCACCGGAGTATAAGACGCACGTTAGTTTTTGGGGAGGAAAATAGGAGAAAAAAAAATCTGCCTACCAGGTATTCATCTGGCTAGCGTCTTTAGCCTGGTCAGCTTCAGCACATTAATTTGCTCGCTGGTTTTGAGGTTGGGGCTGGTTGGGGCTGAAAAACAGCTTCAAAAGCACAGCTGATCATTGGAGAGAGATCCAGTGACTAAAGCAAGCAAAGCGTGGAAGGGGTAAAAGAAGGCAGCAGCTGTTCTGGGTAGCCATTTTGGGCACCACGCGTCATGTTTTCAGCATCCAAATGTGTTGCGTTTTCGGGCGGCGATGGGCAGCGATGTGCTTTGGCGATCCCTGCAGCCTTGAAGGGCTCTCAAACAAAGCATTTGGAGGCTGAAAACACCACGCGCGGAGCCCAAAAACATAAGCCATTGTTGGTGGCAATATTTGCAGGTAGGAAGAGGACACATGGAGGCCGAAGGGTGGGGGCTGCCGGGTGGGCGGGGTTACATTTGGAGTGAAAGATGCACCTAAATTTTCAGCCTCTTTTAGGAGGAAAAAGTGTGTCTTATACTCCAAAAAATACGGGTAGTTAGAAAAAAGACAGGTAAAAGTCTTAATTTAAAATTGAAATACACAATAAATAGCACAGGCAAAAAAAAACCATGTAAGAGGTATTATCCCAGCATAATTTGATACTTTACAGTTTACAAATGAAACTTAACTATTTAATTCTAAAATACCAGCTGCCTGGGAGAATGTCTTAACTTGGCTCTGAAAAAAAGATAGCCAGGTGATTTCCCTAACGGAGGGCTTTCTGCCCTTAGAGCAGCATAACTGCAAAAGAATTTATAGCAACCTATCTTTTGCCGGGCAAAGGCCTGGGAGGATGAGGATGAAGATGAGAGTGACATCTCACTCTCACTGGGAGTGGGACTTCTAGCTTGGTTTTAGAGCCGCCTTTGGAATGGTTTGCTTGCTTCCTTTTTCTTTGGCTAAGAGAGGGAAGAGGATGACTAGCAGAGGGAGCAACTCTAGCCAGGGCCTGCCTGGCAGCTGCCCTGTCAATCATAATTATGACAAATAAGCAAAAGTAGGAATGATGAAAAAAAGCAAAACTAAGCTTACCAGTATTCGAGTCAATCCACTTTTTAATTTGTTAATTCTAACAATAAAGGAGAATATTTGTAGCTCAGGGATGACCTGAGGGGTCATCTCTGATTCTCTCTGAATTTGGTTGTTTTCTTGTAGATATTTAATTACCCAAACTAGGTAACATCATCAGTGCTAGTAGGGAGTGGGGTTTGCTTTCAGTTTATAACTCAGTTTATAAGACCAAAGTACCTCCCCAGCATCAATCCGCACCCAGATGGGAAAATTCATAGATATTTCAGGAGAATGTTACAATTATTACATTGCCAATATTACTACCCTGTTTCCCCCAAAATAAAACATTCCCTGATAATAAGCCCAATCGGGCTTTTGAGTGCATGGCAATAAGGCCAAGCGCTTATTTCAGGGTTGAAAAAAATATAAGACAGGGTCTTATTTTCAGGGAAACACGGTATTACAAGATTCCCTCAGATTCTTTTGCACAGGTATTTGAATATGAAATATACAATTTTCACAAGACTAGGCAGAAAGGTTTGGTGTAGTTTTTTTTCCTCTTGAAAAATCAAGTTTGCTGTTTTATTAATGTATCATTATCTTCTCTTTGTATTTACTTTCCCCAGATGTTCCAGCCTATCATTTTACTTATTCTCATCCTTGTCTTGTTTTCATCCCTTTCTTACACAACAATATTTAAACTTGTCTTTCTTTTCACATTGTTCTTTGTGCTGTAGACATTTTTTAATCGTTTTAGCATTTGTTATAGAGTTATTTTCAGTTTGTTTTATGTTGTCCATCTTCCCAAGCTACGAAGTTCAAGAGCTATAGTTTGTGTAGTAATCACTGCTGTAAAAACACTGAAGACTGTTCGATAGGAAGAAGACAAACCAACCTCCATGCCAAAATGCAGATGTTGCAAGCAGCCCAAACCAAAGAGCTCCACAATCAAATCTGAACTAGCGTCATCCAAATAGTCAGGTAAGCAAGTGAAATTTTTCCCTGCAGAATGTGCGTTTAGGTGTGTGTGTGTGTGTGTGTGTGTGTGTGTGTGTGTGTGTGTGTGATGCTGTAATACCTGAGATCAGCTATTCTTACCCATATATGATTGTTAATTTTGGGGAGGAGGATATTCACACAGAAGTAGAACCCAAGCATGCTCAGCAGCCAAGAAGGACCCAGTTGTCTTGAGCATCAACTCATTCTACTTCAGAGACTCCTTTTATATTCATAACTAATAAAATGACCTATGTATGGTCATAAAACCAGTGTAGTTTCTTTGCCTTTACATCGGACTATGTGCTAAGCAAGGGAGCTCTTAATTTTATTTTAGTTATGACATTAAAGTTTACCTCAAAGTCAAGTAATTACTTCTTCCTAAGGGACAACCACTTAAGAAATATGGCATCTCCAAAAACATTTATTCATTACTTTTCTGTATAAATTCAATGGTGTACAGTGAACCTGAAATTTTACTTTTTGTTGAATAAGTCATAATTGAAGATCTGTTGGAAAGCCAGTTTGATATAGTTTTCTAGACACAAGGAGACTGTGACTCTTAGGCACAAAGCCAGTTGGGTGACCTTGGGCCAGTTACATTCTCTTAGACCTAGAAAGAACCTAAGGGCAAACCATTTTGATAAATATTGGCAGAAAAAAATACATGGATTTATTTCTAAATCCTAACTGGATCCTATTCTAACTACCTGACTTGAAGGCACACACACACACACACAGATAAAAAAAATCTACAGAGACATTTGTTATTGAGATTAAAAACCATAATTTGTATTGTTAAGCAAATTAAATACCCAGACAACACGATGTTTATTAAGCATTAAGAAATGTATTTAATAGAAAATCAATAAAATAAAATAAACCATTCCCTAATTTGTAGATAAAATGTGGTTCTCCACTTCCTTGTTCCATTCAGTTTTTAAAATGATCATATCCATTTAGTCTTTAAAATAGGCATATCAAATTGATTTATTGATAACAATTGTTTACAAAGATTAATTGTAGAGTTTCTTGTCTCTTGGATTTAGTGATCCCTTTTAATAATTCAAGTGTTTCTGAAGCTGAAAATGCTACTGCAAATGGAGACATCAATAAATGTTGTAATTGTAAAAGCTGCCATTGGGTGGCAACAGACAAATGGTATTTATCTTTTAATACAGAAAATTATAACTCATCATTATTATCTACTGGTTGATCTAAAATAAAAATCCCATTATCTAGCCAAATCTCCTATGTAACAAGTTTTTTTAAATTATTAAATTAATTCAATTTTAAGAATGAGATTATTTCTTCACATCACTTCTACATTAAAAAAGGATACTAATACAGTTTTCCAGAAATAACATTACAATTTTAAAGTTAACATAATGGCAATACAGATACTGGTATATCTGATTTATGATAGTTTAAACCCCAAATTATGCTGTATGTGAATATTTCAAATATTCTTAGGAAGGACAATTTTGTACTACATGAAAGCTTTTGGAATTTGGTAGTAGTTGAAAAATATGCATAGTGATGTAAATTAAGATTCAGAAATCCAAATCCCCATATAGTTTTCAATCATAAGGCGTTCTAAAATTTCCTTTACTGTTATTTTAGCACAGGGCTGTCAAACTCCTGGCCTGTGGGCCAGATGCATCATGCGCTGGCCACGCCCACACCTGACTTAGCGAAGGAGAAAGTCTTGATACGTCATATGACGCCGCCATGATGACATGAGTTTGACACCCCTGTTTTAGCATTATTGGATTTCAGTCATGATCTATTTGAGAGCAATTACCAGAAAGTCATTGTGTTTCATGGCCAGAAGTTGTTCAGCTGCCTGCAACTCCTTATCAGTTGCTGAATCAGAGTTGAAAGCTGCAGTGCAGAAAATGTAGAAACAACATTATTTAGACCCTCAAGTTCATGTTTTACCTGAAGAGAAGTTATACCCAGTGTTAAGAAGAATGCATTCATTCTGAATTGATCATCTGGGGATGTTGATGATTTGTCCCCATAGAGGTTATCATGAAGCTTCTTCACTTGTGAAGTACGGTGGTCTTAATTACCACAACACTATTATGCATGATGTAGTGCTGAGTTCTGACAGCTTACTACTTATTGAGAGATGTCTTGAGAGATCCTGAAGCCTAGCTTAAGTCAGTTTCTGGCAATTGCAGTTGACAGATTCTTACATTTTAATGAATACTCCAGTCAAAAAGGAAAACTGAGTTTCTCCATTTGAAATTTTGGACTGCTAGTTTCTGTTACTTAATCTCTTTCCCAAGAAAAGTATGTCAGTTAGTATCTTGTATATATCTTTGAAGTAGAAACAAATGAATGCAAAATCTACCTTATTGCCTTAATGTAATTTTGGATTTAGATGTCAGATACAGGGAAGGTGAATGCCATCATTTGACACTGTGTATGGTTGTTAGGGTGTTGGATTAATACAAATGAAATACAGTTTCTAGTCCTTCCTTAGTGAAAGGTCATATTCATAAGAAATTGTGATAAAGATCCCTAAAATGCCAAATACACTAGTTTATATAACCAAAGTGAAACAACGTACATTATGGTTACACCAAATTTGGTGGACAAAGTTATGGAGGAACTCAGTGGAAATTTTATGTTACAAAATTGGCTGATGAAATATGATGAACTGAAGTTGTTGCTTTTCATTATGTGAAACAAGCAGGCAGATGTGTTGCTGTTGAGATTCATTCACAAACTGTTCAAGTAGAATATCTGTAATGTTAACACTTGTTTGACTTACAATAACTGCACATTTTAACATGCTGATTGATGGAACCTCTGTTATGAAAGGCACATTCAGTAATATTCAAGTGGAACCAGCCAAGTATTAATTCCTTCAGTTGAAAGTAGAAAGTAGGACCTCAATCCCCCTATTCCGTTCTCCCAAAAGAACATGCATTAATTCATTGCGCTTGCTGTTCTCTTTTCTCTCTTTCTCTCTGCCAGATTAAGCATTCTGAAGTTAGTTTAAAAAAACAAACATAGTCATTATGGAGGGTCTCATCAGACCCAGAATATTCCTGATATAAACTTTGAGATCAACTAGAATATAGATTCTCCCAGATGATTTCCTTGCTGCCATCCACATGGGAGAAACTCCATGCTACCATATGTCCATTTCATAGAAGGTAGCTCAAGTTTGTCTGCAACAATCAGTTTCAATTCAATGCCAGAATTTTCACCAGTTATGGCATCCCTAGTGGAACATCATTGTGCAAAGGAAGCACTATGTATATTTGGACTTCTTTAGATCTCTCTCCATTGGCAAAACTTCTATTGTGCAACCCATCCTATGTTGTTTCTAGGATTTACAGGGAGTGTGACCAAGGGTTGCTTAGTTTCATCCTAATGAATACTGAATTTGAGACTTCTGATCAAGAATGAGGTGGAAACTATTTTGGCTGCAAGAATGATTGATCAAATTACAGAAATGTGTTAGACACTTCCTCTCACATTAACAGCCAAATCTGACAGGGCCACCTCATCTGCAAGGCATGATGATCGCCCACTGGCTCAGTTTCACTTCAGTTTGCTGCTGCTTCCTTTTCAATCTTTATAATCACTAGCAGAATCCATCTCCCTATTGAAGTAGCTAATATCCTCCAATTTGACTTAATCTACCATGTTTCCCCAAAAATAAGACCCTGTCTTATATTTTTTTCAACCCTGAAATAAGCCCGATTGGGCTTATTATCAGGTGATGTCTTATTTTTGGGGAAACAGGGTATACTACCAAGAGAACCCATAGGATTCAGATCAGTATATGTGCCAGGCTTTTTTCTTTTCTTTTAAAGTTTAGTAGTCATACCAGAATATTATTTTCCATAAAAGCACCTGAATTTGAAGGCTAGGCATCTCATATTCATTGGGCTTTTGCTGCAATTCAAGAAATCTTAGTTTAAGGTGCGATAATGATATGTGGGAGACAGGGTGAAGAGAGATAGTCAAGAGGTCATATTAAAGGTGGTTTAGCCCACAGCAGGAATGTGAGTGAGTGGGCTTGATGTCACTCACAGCCACGCCCACTCAGTCACAAGACCCCTTCTCATCAAGCCATGCCCACAGAACCAGAAGGGAAATTTTTTTTAATTTCTATTCTGCTGGCATGTCCTTACCTTTCTCCTGTGGCTCCGCCCACCCGCCCCATTCCCCGACTCCTACTGCACCATTCCCTGATTCCTACTGCTCACTTTTCTCCCACGGCTGGCTGTCAGGGAAGGCAAGTGCCCGAAAGATACTGGAGTCACTCACTCTCCTTCTTGAATGAGCTGCTCTGGTCCACGAGCCAGCTGCGCAAGCGCACACCCAACCTGCCGCTGAATTAAATAAACAGTGTGTGCTTGTGCAGCCGGCGCGTGGACCAGAGCGGCTCATTCAAGAAGGAGAGTGAGTGACTCCAGTTTTTGGGCACTTGCCTTCCCTGACAGCCAGCCGCGGGAGAAAGGTGAGCAGTAGGATACACCGCGTGGCGAAGGGCGAGCAGGCAGCAGCTCTGCACCAAGGCCGGAGTCGGGAAATGGCGCATTCCCCGACTCCAGGGAATGGGGCAGTTGGGCAGAGCCTCCAGCTGCCATTGCTACCGGTTCTCCGAACCACCGGCCATCATCGCTACCTACTCGCCTGAGCCGGTCCGAACCGGGAGCATTTCACCCCTGGGAGAAAGATACTTTCAGACTTGCAAGATTGTGTTAATGTAGCCTTCAGTAAAGTAGAATTAACTTTCTTGACCGTGCTTCCTATCTAGTCTACCTTGCAAGGCTGATATATGCATGCTAATAGTCATTGACAATGGTACAGAAATGCTCTGCTATTCCATTCTTCTAGGATATTTTTTTTACTTCCCAATTTAGCTCAAATCCCTGGGATTTTTTTTGATGGCATCCCATCAAATTACAAACTTGTTTAACTTTTTGGGGTCAGCCAAAGTCAGTTTAGTGCTGCCAGAGAATATATTAAAGCTTCTTCAGATGTCACAGCGAATTGCTGAGTCAGTGTTATGTATCTCACTGCCTTGGAGATATTTTTCGAGAGATTATCATGAAATGAGCCTCCCACTGCTTCTAGGACAACACAGTTGAGAAACTAAACACCAATGTCACCCTGCCTCCCAAGTTGCAATGAGTGCAGTATAGTCTGCATGATAAAACTGAGAGCCTAGATAATTTTGATAGTTCTTCTAGAGCAGGGGTGTCAAACTCAATTTCATTGAGGTTGTAAAGTAAACTTATAAAAATAGGGAGGCATACATTTCTGTGATTTATAATTAATTTTTTTAATATTTTATCTACTTCATCGCCTTATGAGAGAGAGACCAGATCAAGAAACTGACTCCAGAAACTGACTAGAACTGCAAATTATTGACATAGGCTAGTAGCAGAATCCTGCAAGCCTGAAAGATAAAATATTTTACTTTTCTTCCCTTTGATAACCTTCTGAGTCAAGGACAGCCTCCTGCAGTACTCCGGAGGCCCCATTTTGGGTCTGAAAGGCTTCCTGGGCCACTCCAGAAGCCCCGTTTTGGGCCTGGATGATTCTGGAGGCTCTGTTTTGGACCTGCAACGCCTCCTAGAGCATTCCTGAGGCCCCGTTTTGAACCTGGAAGGCCTCCTGGATGACTGGAGGCCAAAAGTGGTTTTGGCGGAGCACGAGTGCCCCATCCGCACCCCCATTTTTACTAGCGGAGGCCCCGTTTTGGGCCTGGAAGGCCTCCTAAATGACTCTGGAGGCCTGGAGGCCAAAAGTGGTTTTGGGGGGGCGCGAGTGCCCCACCTGCACCCCCATTTTTACTAGCAGAGGCACCGTGGGCCTGTCCTTTGCTATTTCCAGACTGGTCCCGTGGGCCAGATCTAAGCACCCTGTGGGCTGGATCCGGCCCGCGGGCCTTGAGTTTGACACCCCTGTTCTAGAGAAACAGAGATGACTTTGGAGAAAATATGTTAAACATGATGTCAGTACAGGTGAGAAAATTGCCTTGTTTTAACCTATATCTGGAAACTGATTCCATATTAAGACTAGAATTATACTTTTTTGAGATAAGCTACAGGAACAGAATCTCAATAGCTTCTGGTTGGTTTCTCTTAGATCATCCTCATGACTTTCTCAATTCTCTTTGTTATAAGTGGGACAGAAGAGGAAAAACTGTCAGACTTTCAAGATTCTGTTATTGTAGAGTAATACAATATAATTCTAGGGTTTCTTGTGGTGTCTTTTTCCTGACCTGGTTTACCTCAGAAGGATGGCAGTTTCTCACCCTCTTCAATAACCATGGTCTTCCAAGTTGACAGAATTGACAATCTTGATGAAATCTGTTAATACAATCTGATGTTTTATTCCAGGATCTAGAACTTCATTTGGATTTGGAATGTCCGTCTAGAGATTGAATGGAACAGCTGCTGAGGAACAGTTTATCTCTTTGTGTGGTCAAAGGAATACTTTCTTCACTATGCCTTGCTACAGATTAAAATTACGAAATGATCTGGCTTGTCTTCAAGAGAAAAAAACACTGGATCATGATGATGCTGAATTCTAGAATTTTCTGCAATTAGATTTAGATAGTAATGGATTACCACTATTCTATGGAGACAAACAGCTGCACTGGTCTCAATCCTGAGAGGTACACTTGAAAGTTCTGACATGAAAGAAAAACTTCCGGGGGAGGGGGGACGCACTAACATCAGCCAGGAGAATGGGGGAAACTTCATTTCTTTTGGTAAGTTGATTCTGTGGTCAAATCCATGTTTCTTTTTAAAGATAAACATGATACTCTAGAGTCGTATATGATTGCTTCTCAATTTTGTCCAGCTATATCTCATATTTGAAAATATACTCAGCATTAGTTGGAAGTGTACAGACCTTTCGGGATATCGTTGGTATAGGAACAATTAAGGAGAAATGCATTACAGGACTAAAATCCATTTAGTAAAAGCTGTCAAGAAATGAAGTAGCTAACAGACATATTATTGACCAAATTTCTGTACAAAAACAAAAGTAGCTGTTGGTTTACTGTATGAAGATACAGCATTGTGGTATTTGTGTAGTACAATTATGGTCTGGGGCTCTGTCTAACTCTGCTACATTACTCACACATGCTATGTTGCTCTTAAACCTGTCACTACAAATTTGGAGTAGCATCCTCCAAAAACTATCGGTTTTCATGCTTCTTAAGATACCTCCTCTAAAGCAGTAATAAAGTGTGGCTCTTAAGGAGCCGCTGAAAAGTCTTTTTTTATCTACTGAAACAACACAGATGGGTAAAGACAGCTGGGAGCCATTACCTGACTCAGCCTTAGGCTTTTCAATTGAAGGATGTAGAGTTAATGGCAAGAAATGCTGGGAGCCACAGTTTGGCAGCATTTGCAGAGTCTGTGGTTCTCTTATCATTTCTTGTAAGCTGAGACCATTGTATTATCTCAAAATAATTACAGAATAAGAGGAAGCTAGGCTTATTCTTGCTTTATCTGTGGATTGTAAGTCATCTCCAATCTCAACAGTAAAAAAAAAAGGGAATCTGAAGGATAGATATGCTGCTGAAATAATATTTCATAAGTTAAACAGCAATGTGAAAGTTCTATTTCAAATGCCAAAATCAGGTTGACACATGCCACCTACCCTTAAAGTCAAAGCAGAAGAAAATAGCTGCCATGCTAAAGCAGAAATATGCTCCATCCCTAAAAATCCAGAAACAGTGCCTGAATATGTCATAAAAGAAAAATGAACTTTAGCCGACCTTGAGGAGTTGTTTACAACATGTGCAATATGCCTTCAGAACATCACACTCCAGTTCTTTTGCTTGGCTTGAAGCAGAGATGATTAAGTTTCGGCTGATGCTATGACAAAGGGAGAAAAAGTGTAGGATTAAATCGTTTACCTAGGCAAGTTTATCAGGACATAATACTGTTTATGCAAGGTCTGAAAATAAGCAGAAAAGAATAACCACCCCTGTTCATTAGGATCCAGCATAATAAAATGTATACCAAAGAACCTACATTTTTAAAAGCTGCATTGCGGCTCATGGATTTTTCACCATCAAATTGGAAACATTAAAATGATCCTTCAGCCTGTTCCTTTCCATTCTTCCCCAGCATTCCAAAGATGTGATTTGGATGTTGTCCCTTGTGTGGTAAAAGTTCATTTCTTAGACTCCCAGATGGTCACTTGCTTGCCCAACCTGTTGAGGTAGTCAGAAGTGAATTGGCAGCCAGGTCAAATTAATTCATAGATATTTAAAACGTGATATTGTTGATTAATCTATGTCAAGTTTTTCTCAGTTGTTGTAGACTTTGGTTTTGGATATTCTGAGATAGCACTATTAAAACTAAGTTGTCAGCCTATGAAAGAAAAAAAATGTGCCATGTAATGCACAGAATAGCACATAATATATTTGAGAAAAAAATTGAAAATCCAAGTAGAATCCTTAATGTTTCCATAAAAAGCAAATTTGTAATGCAGAGACCACTACATCTAGCCAATTTTAAATTTATTTTATTTATTAAATGTCACCCATCTCATTATCCAAAGCCATGATGTCAAAATGTGTGTTGTGATGTGACAAAGCAAATTCCACCTCTTTCATATTTTCATGAAATGAGTGAAGTTTGCATTGTAAAGTTTTGAATGTACATTTTGCAACTTGACCCCTCTGTCCTCCCTCCAGTGCCCCTGAACCAGAAGTAGTATTCAGCAGGTTCTGACCAGTTCTGGAGAACCGGAAGTGGAAATTTTGAGTAGTTTGGAGAACCGGTAAATACCACCTCTGACTGGTCCAGCCCCCATCTATTCTCTGCCTCCTGAGTCCCAGCTGATCGGGAGGAAATGAGGATTTTGCAGTAACCTTCCCCTGGAGTGGGGACGGAATGGAGATTTTACAGTATCCTTCCCCTGCCACGCCCACCAAGCCATGCCACGCCCACCAATCCACGGCCACAGAACCGTTGAATCCCACCACTGCCCTGAACATCTATTTATTTAATTATTACATTTGTATGTCATCCATCTACCAAATATGCAGAAAATACTGATCACTCTGGATGTCTCAAATTGGAATGCCACTTGTCCCTTTCTCTTTACCAGAGACTTCATTTCCTTTTTCTTGACATGCTACATGTTCGGAGTGTTACTATTTTAAAGGAAGAGGGACCTTTATCAAATACCTCACTTTCCTGTATCATTCTTTATAATTTGTTAATGCATTTATACCCTGTTTTTCTGTTTATGCCTCATGCTTTCTTGTGGTCTCAAACTTATCTCTGCACTCTTTCCCTAGTTCTTCAAATGTGGGGTTATTTATGGAAACAATAGGGTTGACCCTTTGCAGCCATCCTATGTGTATTTTATCTTAATCTTGATGGTGCCTAGAAAAAACTTGCTGTGATTGACTGGAATTGTTTTATCAGAAGGGGAAAGTGCTATTTTTAGCAAAGCTGCCTCTTGTCTCCATATTCTTTGAACTTGAGTAACGGAAAGAACAATTCTGTAATTTTCCTTCTTCTGAAGCAGAGAATCAATTAAACTTCCCAGACCAAATGTACAATTCTTTTAATTATCTCCAACCAGTTTACGAACATTTTTAGTTCCAAGAGGTACATAATTGACAAAATGTCTGATAACTAACAGACAGGAGAACTAAGTCCCAATAATAAGAAAATGATATTTTGCAAGACAATGTGCAATTTACTGAACATTACCCTCCTATTTTTCACATAATCAAAAGTTTATTTTAAAGTTTTACAAAAAAAAAAAAAAAAACAGATTTGCACACGGAGAGAGAATTATAAAATGAACAAGCAGTTTTTCAAAAAGAAAGACAACTAACATAAATTGGATAAGGATGTCTATAAGAGAATTGAAGAATGAAGTTTACCTTTCCTTTAGTGACTACAGCAAGGCCTGATTATATAGAACATTCCTGAATGTGGAACATATTACAGCTAATGAGCATGTCAGAACACCTGATTATTCTTTTGAGGAGCTTTTGCAATAAACAAGAATTTCCTGTAATAACTCTGTTTGAAGATTCTAAAAGGTGCGTGATAAGTATGCACATTGTCTCAATTATTTTTAACAAGAATAGCATATACCAGTAGATTAAAATTGGAAGATATGACAGCTGGAATGGAAATACTAATCAACTGAAGTATGCAGATGATACTAGTTCATTAGCTGAAATAAAAAAGATATAGCACATTAGGAGACTAGAAATGGAATGTAAAAATGTCAGTTAATGTTAAATACAAAGAAGACAAAGATACTGATAATTAGCATGCTTAGTGCATTCAGAACAGGGGTGGGTTCTACTTACCTTTACTACCAGTTCGCAATGGAGCCCCACACCCCGCTTTTGCGCATGCACAGAAGCTTCCTGATGATGTCGGAGTCGGTGGGCGGAGCCTCCGCCGGTTTTACTACAGGTTCTATAGAACTGGTCCGAACCGGGGGCAACCCACCACTGATTCAGAAGTAATGGTGAAGAAGTGAAAGTAGTCAATACTTTGGATGTTATTAAAACTGAATAAAATACTAAAATTGGCAATGCGCTAGAAAAGGGAAAAACTTAATTTTAGGGAGGAAAGCAGTGGCAAATTCAAAGAAGAGCATGTGGAAATATTAGAACAGTTAAATATACCTGCAAAGCTGGACATTAAGAACAAGTGAAGAATAGTTGATGGTTAATAAGAATATCCTGAGTCGCAAGAAGAACCAATCAATGAAATAAAGGCAATGATCAGAAATGGAAATATATGTTTTTGGGGCATGTATTTGAGTAGATGATGGACTAAAAAATGACTAAGTTTGGCAGGGCTGAGGGAAGCAGAAGAGGAGGAAGATAACAGGAAGATGTCAGGGTTGATTGACAGAATTAGAGATATCAATAGAATAATCTTGGGACTGATTATCACCAGATACTGGTCAAAACGGAAGGCCTTGGTCATTGTCATCACCAGAACTTGGGCCTGACTCTATGGCTTGTAATTGATTTACAAAATGGTTCCAATATAAAACCTACAATTTGTCCTTAAAAGAAGAGGTCTTTTATTGGCTCCTCATGCATTGATGCTGTCTTCTTAAATTGTGCTGATGCAGCTGGCCAAAGGCAGCCAGAAAAGCCTTGGAAGATTGCTCAGAGTTCAGCCTGATGCCCCACCCATCCTGAGGTGGGGTCACTGCATTCCAGGGCAGCTACAGCTGTTGATGTGCCTTAAAAGATAGGCATAGGCAGAATTCATTCTGTCCAGGCGGTAGGGGGAAAAAATACCAGATTTGGTTTTTATTTAAAATTAATCTTTCTGTCAGCCAGAGTTTGATAATACTTGTTGTTCTTTAAAACAGCTGCTGCAGCAGCAGTGCTATTTGTACAGCTTGACTCAACAAAGCATACTAAAATTATATAGAAAAAGGCAAGTACCGGTATATCTTACAAAAGAAATCTAAAACTGCCTATTGTCGAATGCTTACCCTGGCTGCTTTGACAAGGTTAAGAACTCTGCTCCACTATAAAACCTAAAAATGTCCTGGCCATGAATTTGTTTATGTAAAATATGAGAAGATCTAAGGTTACAGGACTTGGGATTGGAAGAGCTTTTAAAACCAACCTCTGAAGGCTGACGTCACGTGGAAACCAGCTGCTGGGATGATGCTAAACGGAACTGTTTGTCAGTTTGCAGAAAATTGCAAAGTTGAACTAACGTTGCTGTAAGGACTTTGTCTTGATAGAGACGCTGATGCTTCATCTCTCTTTGAAGGGTCATTCTTTGCAGAACTGGAAAGGCTTTTTCTCACCTTCTTTTCACTCCTGGTTTCACTTGGATGGAAGGGATTCTTCCACTGCAAAGGGTAAGTTTACCACTTGCTTTTTATTCCCCTGTCCCCCTGAAAAAAAATACTGAAGTTCCTTCATTGAAATGGGTTGGAATATTTTCAAAAGAAGCAGGAATGTAAATGCGATGCCCAAAAGGTTATTTCTGCATCTGGTTAGTTCTTCTGGATTTGAATAAAGGCAGTAACTGTAAAAAAAAAAAGAAAGAAAGAAAGAAAGAAAGAAAAAAGACTTTTAAGGAAAAGATTAAGCTAAATAGCCTAGTTTCAAACAGTCTTTCAGGTTTCTCAACATGAAAGTTTCTTGGAAGTGTACAACTGTTGTGCACAATAGCAGAGAAGCTTGCTGCTGTAGTGACCCTGTTTATCTATCTTTGGCATCCCATTTTGTTCATCTCCACTAAAATACAACCTTCTTAGTTGATGTCATTGCTTTGTATTTTTAGTAGCTGCTTTCCATATTCCAGAGAGTATGTATTTCAAATTGGATTGGTGTATATTTGTGCATGTGCCGAGAAACAAGAGAGCAAAGGGGTATTTCACATTGTGTTTCTAAGGAAAGCTTGTATGTCTTAGTAAAGATAGAGGGGAGAAAGAGAGGCACTGTGAACAATGCAGATGACATAGATCTTGTTCTTGGAAACTTTACATTGGTATTGAGATCCTGACCTTGTCTAGGACACACTGAAGTTGTCGGTACAGCAAATGGACAGATGATTTTGGATTAAAAGCATACTCTTGATTTTTACACGAAGAAGTCATGTATCCATGCACCCGATGTATTTATGCTTCCAAGGATTTACTAATTCAGTTTTTCTTGCACTGGTCCTATTTATCTGAGGGAACTGACATTTGATTCTAGTCTCTAAAGGAGAAAAGATTAACAAGAGACAAGACAATAAGCAAAGCACCTGCAAGGATTTTATTCACTATAAAACGAGCTTCGGCATCTAGGTTAAAATTGAACTGTAGGTTATATCATTGTGTGTAAATATCAAGCTTGAGGCTCAGTCCTCAAGGAAACAGTTAAAAATGATATTAGGATATTAGGATAGCAGTAATATGAATAGAAGACAAAGCAGGCAGTCTAGAGAAAGTCAGTGTGTGTTTTGATTACTTCTACAATTTAATGCTCTCTGTCCTTGATGGGAGGTGTAGTCATATTTTTCTGGACATTCTGTTTTTGAAAAAGGCTGCTTTTTCAAATAGGCAGTACTAGAAACACTTTGCTTAGGTTTTCTAGTGTTTAAATGGAATAGTTTGTAAATTTGCTTATATGCTTTATTGATATTAAATACTGCAGTAGTGAATTAAGACAATTCTTGTCTTTGTTTTATCAAGGGGAAATCTGAAGCTAGGAAGTGACTTGCCACAGACTGAATCCAGGAAAAAAAAGGACTGCAAATTCAGATTTTCTGGATTCTGACCCCACAACCTTGTTGCCTAAAACCACATGTCAACTTTGCAGATACATGCAAATTTGCTAGGACCCTCTGGGTAAAGAGCTACCATAAGGTAAGTGATTAAATTGTGGGAGCCTCGGTTCTCTTCTGGTCATTTTCATTTTGTGCAACATGTAATGCAACGCTGTTCCAGAATCTGATTAAATTTTGATTGCCTTCAGTGTGGCTTTCTGAAAAATAGCTTAGTGAGAAATCAACTGTACATTGCAGAATTTGGTTTTAATAACCAAGCAATTTTAGAATTGAGTTCTTTTGCTTTTTAACACTCATGTTAATAAGTCATTACAAGAGAGAAATCAATATCCATTTGGTGTGGAAATGTCTTCTTTTCATGTTTGGGGTGTAGTACTTCTATATTTTTGCTTCTCCTTGAATTACTAGACTGAACGGTACTTTCTCTTCTCCAGCTTCTCTATTGATTCCTTTCATAAAGACTGTTGGAAAGATATTCAAGCCAGAGGACCCTTTTAATTTTCCTGCATTCCGAACAAATCTACTCAAATGTAGCAGCCTCCAAATACTGTACATTAAAAGTTAAAAATAAAAAAGCGAGACCAAATGATCCTCATTAAAAATATTGAAATGGTTGCACATGATCATCTTCAGATGGCACTTGGAATGCAAACAAGCTTTCAGAAGAGTGGAAAAGTTAAGCCAGTTGTTTTGGAGAAATCATCATTTTAGTCTCTGGCACTGAGCTAGAACTTTGGCCCTAGAAGTGAAGAAAATTCATTTTGCTTGCCTTCTTACTCCTTCAAGCCAAGATAATTTGCTTAAATAATCAACGGCTTTTGTCTTCCTTTATGCAGTATCCTAGGAATGTTGGGGCAGCTCTGTTATTTGCAGCAACACTACTTTTAATAAAACTGTCTTTACTTTATCCAGACAGGCATAAACCCCCCAAAAGTTCCTGGACCCCAAGTTGGTTGGAGCAAATATTTATAGCAAAGCTGGGAAGAAAAAAACCCTGCACTACCTGGAGCTTCAAACAGGTAATGGTATGTTGCCATCTAAACCCACCTGATTTTGAGAAGCAGTAAAGTTTATTTATTAGTTGCAATTAAAAAAAAAAACCTTTCATTTGGCCTGATTGCTAAGAAAAGGAATTCAAGGAAAAAAATAAATGGATTTAAAACAAAGGATTCGATCTGTCAGAGAGAAGTGTTCCTTTCATTAGCAGGAAGTTACTGATTCAGATTGTTTGCCCTCTTTTCTGTCCAATGAGTTCTCTGAAAATAGTTTTGAAAAGGTGTTGAAGGCTGCAGAAGGAAATCTGTCAACTGGAATTTTCTAAGAAGCAAAGACAACTTCGCTGCAAAAGCTTGTAATTCATTCCAGTTGATTTGTATGGTTCCAGTGACCAAAATATACATTTTTTTAAAACTAGCCATGGTAATGAAAAAATATTGCAAAAAGAAAGCATTCCACAAGATAGATGCCACCTTAGCTACCACATAACCTACAAATACATAGAGTGGCTAAACTAAAGTAGGATTTCAAATGGTATGAAATGAGAGGTGAGAAGGGTGAGGAAAACAGGATGGTTATACCGATGCAGGTTATCTATGACTCAGATTAAAACTACCTTAACAATTTTCAATTGTAATGTGTTAAAAACCATTGTGTTTGTTGAAATATTTTGAGATAGCCCAAACTTTTGAGGTATGTGAGTTCCGCAATCTCTTGCTTAATCATACAATTAAAATGGTCTTTCCAAAATGGTCGTGTTAAGATTTGCAGTACAGTGTCCTGGAAAGTGGAAATGCTCTAATACTACTTTATTGTTGTTCTGAGTGCTGAGGTCAAACTTTGCACCATTCATTCTTAAGCACAAAATTTGTCTTATGTAGAATCCAGAAGGGGAGATGCTGGAAGATGATAGCTTATATTTCATAGGAGGAAGAGTATGTGAAGGCACCTCTAATCTTATGGGTGTACTTGTTGGGCCTTATGATGATGCTATTCACTTAGATGTGAGGGTAAAGTAGATAGCTGTGTTTATTGCATAATATGTTCCTGTGTTAGCATTAGTGTCTGGTTGTTTCTTTTTGCTTGTAAAAATCTGCTTTGGATTGGGAAGTTGTTTGAATGCAAATATGGACCTGCCAGCTAGTGCCTGAGAAGGAACAGTCTAATTTACATTTGCATAACCATCCTGTCTTATTTTTCACCCTGACCTCATCCCAGTCTAAATCTTGTTTCAATTTAACTACTCTAATTAGTTATAGTTCACAACAATGTTGGCCTTTTAATAAAATTAGCGCTTCTCAACTCCTTTTCATTTTGGGCTCTGTAAAATAATTAGCATTCTCGTTCTAAAATGGAACATCCCAAGAATATACATTAAAAGCTGGTTCTTTCCTCCTCCCTTATTATTTGTAGATTTTTCTTCATATTTCCATGAAACATATGAAGAACTTTTGCAGGGATTGGGTATGTACAGTCTAATGAAAAGAAGGACTGGAGTAACATCAGTGGTGGGTTCTTCCCGGTTTGGCCCGGTTTCACCGAGCCGGTAGTGGTGACGATATGACGTCACCAAACCAGTTCTTCCCCCCCCGTGGCCCCCCAGCCCCTGTTCTTACCTTTTATTTGGCCCCACCCCCAATCTATTGCTGCCTCCTGAGTCCCAGCTGATCAGCTAGAAGGAAAAAAACTGTTTAAACTCTTGCCGCGGGGCTTCAAAGGGCCGCCCTACAGCTGATCAGTGTTAAAAGGCAGTGTGATGGTAGACTGTGCCTGCAAAAACAAATGAGTAGACCGGTGCCTGTAAAAACAAATGGGTAGACCGGTACAGCTCTGCAAGCAATTAAAAGCCTGGTAGACCAGTACCTCTGCTAAATCTTAAATAATTGTCACATGACTATCAAGCCATGCCCACAAAATAAGCCACGCCCACAGAACCAGTAGTAAAAAAATTTAGAACCCACCCCTGGGTAACATGGTAGCAGTGTTCCAATATCTAAGGGGCTGCCATAAAGAAGTGGAAGGCAACCTATTTTCCAAAGCACCTGAAGGCAGGACAAGAGGAAATGCATGGAAACTAATCAACGATGGAAGCAACATAGAACTAAGGAGAAATTTCTTGACAATTAGAACAATTAATCACTGGAATGACTTGCCTCCAGAAATTGTGGATGCTCCAGCACTGGAAGTTTTTAAGAAGAGATTGGACAACCATTTGTCTGAAATAGCATAGGGCTTCCTGCCTGAGCAGGGGGTTGGACTAGAAGTCCTCCAAGGTCCCTTCCAACTCTGTTATTCTGTTATCCTATTAAGTCATTGAAGAATGAGCTACAGATCCCTGGAGCATTGAATCCATTGCTTAGTCTTTGCATTGTATAGAAGTGTTAAAGGGAGTTTAATTGATATAAAAATATTTTGAATCATTCATGATTGGAGTTCTCCCTGGATCTGATGGTTGGCATTTCAGTGATGATTAGTTTTGCTTTGTAAGAAAAGAAAATTACAGAAATCAATATGAGACCAAAAAGCAAAATTTATATTAGATATAAAGTATGAAATAATCACTGGACTGTAATTCTGATAGAAGCAGCTTCCAAAGATGCCTTGTTTTTGTTATTTGAGACAAATGGAAAATAGTTTTGCTTAAACAAAGTATGATGGCAGAGTGGTATTAACATTAAAGAAAATGTTAACACTAACACCTTCAAGCTAAATTCTTTAGCCTAGGTTCTTATTCTAAGATAGGAACAAATCATGGTTCATAAACTTTGCCCTGATGAAGATCCTTAATACTGGCTGAGTGTTTATTGTTTATTCCAAGTCAGCTATTGTCAGAAAAACCTGTGTCAGTTATATTAGAAGATTGTTTTATTACTTTGCTTCTCCAAGATAGAAAAGTCTTATAGTCTTTGTTATTATGGCTGGTCCCTGTAGTGTCAGACAAGTGCTGGCTGACATTAATGAATGTACCTTCTATAGCATTTCAGTGAGAATGTCAGGAGAAACTATAAATGGAAGAAACCAAGTTATTTAAAAACTACCAAAAGTTGCAAAATACAATGATATAGTTTTATCACAGATTTTCTTCCTTTGTGACAACTACCTCTTATTTTTCAAGGAGTAAAAAGAAAACCCTTCAGATGGAAAGGAAATTACTGATAATTTTGTTGGCACCTGTTAGTATTTTTGTAACTGGGATTATTCAAGGCTGCCAGGAAGTATTAAGTCCATCAGCATGATGAGGATTGGGGAAAACAAGGGCCCTCGCTCTCTGTAACATCTGTCTAGGCCTTCTTCATTTTTGTTCACATGATATGGCATGCAGAATGAATGGGTCAACATAGGCAATTAGAAGTATATTCACTGGCCCCACTGTCTGCAGTAGATTTTTTTGAACAAATAGTGTCATGTTGCACACTTGTGAGTTCAGCCTATAAATTTTATAGAATGTATGTAAGTCAGACAGGGACAGTGGGTGTGATCCTGACTCAACCCCTGTGAATTGAATTCACATTCCTTGCTGTGTGAACAGGACTTTGGCAAGCCATCCTCTTTAGAGATTAAGATGTTTTTATAAAGCACAGACATTTTGGATTAAATCAGTGGTGGGTTGCTACCAGTTAGCCCCAGATCGGGCAAATTGGTAGTGGAGGCAGCAGGAGGCTCAGCTCACCCACCCGGACATCTCTACGTATGCGTGCGCACCCACGAGCAAACAAGTAGCAGCCGAAATTGAAACCCACTACTGGATTAAATCCTAATTAAGTATATACTATCTATCTTGCAAGTTTCTTGATTGCAGGAGAGCCATTGAAGGTAGAACATGGGTCAGCAACCAGCTCACTGGCCAGTTTATATTTAACAGCTGGTATCTGCAGCTTGATGAGACGTTTACAAAGCAAAAGAGCTTGGTCTCATCTTCCTAAATTGCTTCAAAACTGCTTAGACATAGATGTCCAGTGTGATTTTTCTCTTGTGCTGTAAATACATATACATGTGGATGGACCTTGTGAAGGAGAGGCTGTGTAACTCTGGCGTACTACAGTTGTAGAACACTTTGTTTATGTTTCTATATATGTTTGTTTGAAGGCGGGGGGAGAGCTTAACTGGGTAACCTTGTAAAAGCATATTAGCAAACAGTTTATTTTTGTGTTATAGGCTGTCTTGTCAACAATCTGGAACATAGTGGTGGACAACCATCTTAAGCATTCCAGGCCCTGCAAGGTCGTGAAGGCCTTAGTTTCAGTGCCAAATCCTTGAGGGAAAATAGAGGTTGCTCAGCAACCTTTAGGGACCTTACATTATTTTGAAAGGTTGAACATCATGATACTGAAAAGGCACTGAAGTGTGAACATGTGTTTCTTATTTGCAGGAATATACCCTGTATTTTTATGTATGCCTGTCTCTTCTTAAGAAGTTGCTTAATAATATGACAGCAGAGTAATTAATTCAGTGCTGCTCACATACTTTATATGGCACAGCTTTAAAAAATATTTTCCCTTTTCAAAATGATGGTGCAAGCAGGTGACTAAAAATCCAATTCTAATATTACAAAAGTCTAGAATGTTGAAAATATATTAATCACTTTGGGCAATGACCAAAGGGTTATTGTTTAATAATGATATGTGTATATTTATTCCGATATTATATCTGTTTCAGTATACTTCATACTTTTCTATCAAAAAGTTAATCATACTTCTAGAAAGATTTGTTTCATAGTCATAATCAATTTTTATTATTACATTCTTTGCACATTACTATGTTCTTACTACATATCTAATCAAACTACTTTTCTAACTGAGTTGAGCAATTATTTCAGCTTTAAATGTATTGTAGTTCTTATTTCGATTTGTATAGCTACTCATTTTAAATATATAATTCTGAGTAGATCACAATGAGTAAATATATATATATATTTAAAATAAAATTAAACTACATAAAAATAATATAAAACGGTATTTTAAAAGAAATAAAAAACCAGACAATAATTAAAACAGCTTTCCATACTTCGCATGTTTTTCCAAAATGATGATTAAAAAAAGGTCCTGATGAACATTTTAGAAGAATTATTGTGAACATACAGAGCCACTGCATTACAAAAAAATAAATAGCATGTGTTACAATTATGGAGAGGAACATCTGCTCTTTCATAGATGTAATTCCAATATAATGCTTTGGATTTTTTTTTTTCTTTTTCATCTTGTGTCCCAACCCTATTTCATATAGCTATAAAGATCTATCTCTTTTCCTGTGTACTGGGCTGGGGCAATATATGAGTCTATTTTGTAATGTTTGCTTGTGTGTGTTTTTTTTAAAATTCAAGAATCAACAGTATATTGATTATGTTTTTTTAATTATTTTGGGGTTTTTTTGTTTTGATATTTTATTGTATTTTTAAACATTTCTTTTGAAAGCTGCCCAGAATCATCAAAATATAGAATGCCATCAGAGGGATAGCATTCTACATTTTATAAGTAAATATACAAACAAGCAAGCAGAATTTATAGAATACAGTCTGTAAACTAACCTTTAATGCAATAGTATCTTTTGGTTTTTCACTGTTCCTTTCCCTGTTTTCCTCTACTCTCACCCAGAAAAAGAAGGTGGAACCCAAGACAAACAAAGCTTGCTCTAATATCATCATCCCCACTTTCCAAGAAAAGCTCAGAAGAGAAGAGAGAAGGACACATCCTCTCCTCTACTGACCCAGCAACGCTATGGATCTTCAAACCCAACTAGAGCACATGACTGAGAAGAACTGGAGTAAAGAGAAAATGGAACTGTTGGAACGTTTCGACAGTGAAAGGAAAGAATGGGAATGCCAATGGAAGGTCATGCAGAAGAAAATAGAAGAGGTATTGTGGATTATTTTCAACATCAGCTAACAATGTCCAAACTAATGTGGTGATACTGTTGTGTTTTTTTTTTAAAAAGTCACAAGACTTTACATTGCAACGGATTGGTTAGTATTTATAAGCCCACTGTTTTCTAAAATTGGGGGATGATACTGTGATCTTATGCTTCCAATATTTTCTAGGTTTCAGTTTTTAAAATTCTTAGCCGTGCTTTTTGCTGATTGCTTTATGTGGGAATTATAGGTAGGATAATGAAGTTGAGGACATATATGTATCTTTTCTTTTATGTACACTGAGAGCATATGCACCATTCTATCCTATTCTATATTAACTCTATCTTACTTTGAAGCATTCCTGACAAATGGCTGTACATACTGTAGTGAAAACCACCATGGAACCATTTTTTTGGTAATCACTCTAAGCTGTTAGTTCCATTACTAACCTGGAATTACAATTTAAAAGGGTTCACTGGCTATTTTTCTATGTAGATCCATTGTGTCTTGCTCTGTAAAACTATTCGTTGCAACAGAACTAATACCTAACATTCCCTACATTATTTTAAATAAACATGATACTGTATTTCATGTCAACCACATTCTTTAAAACTGAGGAACAGATAAACACAGATAAACCAGTAGGTGCATTTAACTTTTTATTTGTGTAAGTAGATAATGATTGGAAATTACAAAATGGTTGACTGTTTCTTGGCATGCATTTTGCATGTCTTTTGCTGATAAAATTTTAATTATTTTCATCCCATATTTAGAGGTTCATTGGTCCCTAGTCATCTCCCTTACTGCTTTTCTTAGATCCACAAAAAATTCTTACTGTAATGATATTTCTGGTGCTTTATCCATTGGGCATTTTGTTTATGGTGGCATTTTATGAATTGCCACCGTTTTTGTAACGGATGCTATTTATTTCTCCAAATGATTGTGTACCATTTCAGCACATTTATTTTCATTTGTAGCCACTGTAATTATTCCACCTTAACTCAGAAACACTTTGGTTTGAGAGCTGATTTGATACAGTATTAGGGGTATAGTTGGAGTCTGGTCAGAACTCCTTGTGGTTGGCAGAAAACATACATTCCAATGCTATATGTTTGAAACAACCAAAATTTTAAGAGTTTTGGGATTTTCTTTGTAGTCTGTGAGAAGGAAATGTGCTGCAGCCCTTCTTGTAATATTATTTCTTAAGTAAAAGAAAAATTTCCAGATAGTTAAGCCAATCAATGATTTCGTGCCCCGAAAACAGATGACTTCCTTTGTTTAATCAGATGTATGTATGATCATATATATATGATCGCTTATCTATGAGAGACGTTTTGTTTCTTTTCCAGCTTTACCAGGAGGTAAAATTAAGGCGTGAAAACAATATGAGTATCTCAGAGAATAAGCCCATTCATAACAAGGCAGAGCAACAGGCTTGCTCCCCCACCTTAGAATGGAGTGACCCACCAGGATTGTACAGCTGTTCGCCAGATAAAGAGAGTTTGCAAAGCCAAGCCGAAAAGGAAAGCAAGTGTGCGAAAAACAAAAGGCGAAACCATGCTTTTGCAAAAGATCATCTCACTTTTCAAAATTCTAAGGAGTCTGAAGACTGTGTAGATTTGAAAACAACCAAGAATTACACTCAGGATCTCAACATTGTGAGTAAATTCATATTGTGAGTGATTTCACTGAGGTTGCATGTTAACCAAGCTTCACCCTGTAACACTGCAGTAGTTTTATTATTGACTACTTAAATGTGGTTAGCTCATCTTTTCTAAACCAGTTAGAAAGTAACAAGAGTGGGTCAGCTGACTGTCCTAACTGGAACTAAATCAGTATGAGAACATGCTAACTATAGCTGCATGAATATGAATGTAGGTCTTCTGTACCAAAAATATCTTCACTAAATGCAGAGGTTTCTGGAACTTGTCAATCAATGTTTTTCTATTCCCTTTAGTTTGTTGCTATTTTAATGGAACTTCTTAAGCAGTTGGTGGCATGATATAGTCATTATGTTAGGTCTGTGTGAAGCAGGAACCAACCTTGTAAAATGCTTCTCCATCTTTTAGTTTGACCTCTGGGGAAAAAAAGCATTCTCTTCATGGCATTAATCATAGGTTTTTTTTTTATTATTACATTTTTTTTCCTGATTTTTCTGATCTTATAATCTTTTGTTCCATTACTCTAATGATTTGTGAATTGCAAGAAAGTCAACACATTCACTTTAAAATATATATATAAATTTGCTTAAGAAATATGAATTGGAAATTAAAAATGCAAAGGCCCAGTCTTTTATCATTGCTAAGGTAAGCCAGACTCCATCACTATGATGCTACAAAAATCTAGTTATAAACCCTGATTAATAAGAGGATCTGGACTTTCAGTAATCACAGTTATGCCAATGATTATGCAGCACAAAGCTAGCTAATGCTTAAAAGGTGGGGGGGGGGAGCTCAAAGAAATGGAAAAAGAGGGTGTCTCCTCACAAAGACTTTGTGACAGCTCAAAACTGGCTCTGTATATGTCTGATCAGATGATATTCGCTTGATTCTCATGCTGAATCCTCTTTTTCTTTCCTGGCTTTGGGCCAGTTCATTTAAAACCAGAACAAAACTGCTATTTTCTTTTGCAGTAATAGAGCTTGCAGTCTACCCATTCCCTTATAAGCAGAAATTCTTGCCTCCCTTTGTTTCCTAGTTCCTGGATTCAAGTAAGCAATTTCATTTTAAAGTAGTTGCTTAGGGGGGAAATACCCTAAGTTTGAATGGTATTACAGAACAGAAAAGGAGGAAACTGACAGAATTGGGTTATCATGCATATGCAAAAAAAAAAAAAAAAGTGAAGATCTGCAAATACTGAAAACAGTCTGTTTCAGTCCTAGTTGCATTTTAAAATGGTTTTCTTGGAACCTGACAGTAGTAGGATTGTGTAAGTGTTCACAAACCCATTGTTCAGCCTCTATTTCTCTCTCTGAATCCATTGTTAAAGGATTGGGAAATAATTTAGTTGCCAAACCATTAATAGACATGATAACTTCAGATGCTTTCCTATGCGGCTCTATGATCATTGCAAGGTGATGTGAGTGTGTCTGGCTTTTCTTTAACAAGCCATCATCTCTCATGTAACTTCCTATTGTTGCAAGTTGTGGAAGGGCCAAAAACCATTTGTTTTATTTTATGCTTTGCGTAGACGAGGGGAGAGAAGATTTTTGATTTTTGAGGACTAGGCAGTTGAGGATTTTTTTTTTTTTTTTGCATTGTTCAGTTGGTGCTGGAGAATAGCCCATGGAGTTCTCAGAATATTCCCTATGCTTTGAAATCAATGGCAGTGGGAGGAGTAAACACAGTGAAAGTATGGGTCTTCCCATCATATGTCCTTGTGCTGTGTTGGGACCACAATTTCTAGAATTTCTAGAAGAGCCTTGGTAGTACAGGGGTTTAAGGCACCCTGTTATTAAGCTGGTTATTAAGGACCAGCTGCCTGCAATTACTGCAGGGTTCGAATTTAGTCAAGGCTCAAGGTTGACTCAGCCTTCCATCCTTTCTAAGGTAGGTGAAATGAGGACCCAGTTTGTGGGGGCAATAAGCTGACTTTGTATAAATATACAAAAAAGGATGAAGGCTATTGCTGAGCACATTGTAAGCCGCCCTGAGTCTTTGGAGAAGGGCGGCATATAAATCAAATTTTAAAAAAAATAAAAATAATAATAATAAAAAATTCCTAGCTAAGAGTTGGCACATGATTTGCAAATGGCAGAATGTAGTGGGCTAGCTTGTTTGCCGATATGAGTGGTATGATGTCAAATATATATTTTGAATTACAATTCTCCAAATATCTTGCTGTTTGTTTTCCTGAGCTGGTGTCCAAGAATTATAAAAAGCTACTTCTGATTTATTTCGGTAACTTAAATCTTGCTTTTCTACAATAAGTACCAAGGTGGTTCACAAGAAAATGCTGTAGCACAAAATCATGAACATAATAAAGCCATAATTTAGTTGCTTGTCTATATTTAGAAAGATTGGACATCCCCAATAACATAATTCTACATTATTCTACATATTCTATAGGAACTGAATTATACTCAGATATTGCACTTTCTATTTCTCAAGGCCCTTAAAGAACTTGCCAAAGTAAGTGAAGACTTGTGCACCTACCAAGAAGAAATCCGTAAGAAAGCCAACCATAGAAGGTAAAATGATCCAATTTTAAAAAGATTTGCTCTTCTAATGAAAGAAGATAAAGTACCCCAAGTCCTACTTTCTGCCTGAAATTAAGTTTCCTGAGTTGAAAGCTGCCAGCACTTTTGCAGAAGCATTCATCCCATGATAGAAATTAGACAGACACTTATGAGCATGTAATACATTTCTATAATAGACTAGATCTGTGATGGCGAACTTATGGCATACGTGCCAGAGGTGACACACACTGCCCTCTCTGATGGCACACGAGCCGTCGCCCCATTCAGCTCCACCGTACATGTGCGTGCGCCTCCCGCTGGCCAGCTGGTCTTCAGGTCTCTGCCGTGCATGCGTGGAGGGGCGGGGCTCATGTGGCGGGGCAGCAAGTGCATGCATGAGGGGAGCATGTGGGGGGCCATGGGCGCACATGTGCAGGAGGCAGCAAGTGCATGCACAGGGGCGGGTCACATGTACGGGGCTCTGCGTACATTGCATTTAGGGGGTTTGGGCACACATGCATTTGTGCGTGCCTGCACATGCTTTGGGCACTCAGTCTGGAAAAGGTTAGTCATCACTGGACTAGATTGATTAGTGTGATAGAAACCCAATCAGCAGGACTAGTTATGGTTCAAAGAGCTGTGCATACTAATCATTGAGTTAGTTAATTAAGTCAGGAAGCATAATTAGATAAATGAAAGATAAGCATGGGATGTGAACATAGCTCCACTGTCCCCTCCAAGAACATCCTGTTTCTCCCCAAGAAGTGACTGAGAAACTGCCAAAAGACTTCCTGAGTTTTTGAGTGGCATGAAAGGTACTTTTAGAAGTACAGGACAAATCTTTAATTGTACTTCTTTGATATCAGTTGGGGGAAAATTGCGGCTTTATGATGCTAACATCATAAATTCTATTAATTTCAAATAATTTATTATTTAACTGTTTTTCTTCCCCATACAGGAAAAAAATTTTTCCTTTCCTTGGAGAATCCATTGAAAGTGGGAATGCATCGATCACCCAAGAGACAAGTCATGTATATTATAAGAGCCCATCACTGGCTGCAGTTGCCTCTGAGACGGAAAAGCAAAATAACAGAAGGAATCTGATTAGCACCAACAGGCATTTGAAGGAAACTCCATCAACTGCTCTTTCTGAGGTTGAGGAAACCAGCTTTTTGCCTTGGCAAAGACAAGAAGGGCCTCCTGTTCCCCCCAGAAGCACCTCTCGGCATTTGACAAGCTCTCTTGCAGATGTTTCCGAAGCATTAGCTAAGCATGTTGAGCAAAGAAATAGCTGCACAACCCAAGAACATCCAGATGGAAGTCCATTAATCTATCCAGCTGCTCCACTGACAATGTCAGATGAATGTAAATCTCTTAGTGGGCCTACCGAAAATCAGGATCAGTATAATGACCACAAACTTCCAGCAGCAATTCTTCACAGTGTGTGGTCTTGTGAGGCAAGCAAATTTGAAAATGGACCTGAAAATGGCTCTTCCAGACATGCTCTCCAGAAGTGTTCTTCTGATGGATATATGATGACCCCAAAACAGCATCCCAAATTTCAAAGTAGTGGACATGGTACCAGTAATTCTTACATTGTAGCATGTGATACACTGGAAGATTCTGGGTATGAAACTGGAAAAACTCAACGCAATGAAACACTGGAAGCTAAAATTGATGAGTTCAACCGGACTGTATTTCATACAGATAAAGGTAAAAAATGTTTGCTGCAGAACCAAACAGAGCTGCCTGGTGTTCCTAAAGCCCACTGTGGACTGCTGGACAGTCTGAACAATGGGACACCAAATGAAGAGTCGACTTACGATTTGAATTCCAAGCTGTCTTCAAAGAAGGAAGAAAAAGCAAACAGGCCCAGTAAAGATGTCAAAACAAAACGACAACAAAAGCAAATAAATGGAGTTTTAAGTGGCTACCAGCACATGCTTCATGAACATGACTGGAGGCCAAGTAATTTGTCTGGTCGTCCACGATCAGCTGATTCAAGGTCCAACTATGGTGTTGTTGAGAAGTTGCTGAAAAACTATGAAAAACAAGTGCAGTCTGAGGCTGAATTTACTGAGGGCAGCTGCAAAAAAAATGGGTCATTATCCAGTAATCCAGACAGAGCAAGGAAAGCAGGAGCAGCAGAAGAGTTCAGTGAGACACCTTGGACTGTATACCAAGCATGGAAAAGAGAAGCAGAAATTTCCTGAGGTATGCTTTGAACATGACATTGGTCTACTTTTAACTTCTTTAAACTGCACATGTTATCCTTCAAAAATTTTGAAACATATCATTGAGGCTGTTAAACTGGACTTCAGGACCTACATCTGAATTCCAGTCATGAAGATTGGGGCAGAATCTATGGGGGCTGATGCTGGTTGCCAAGTATCTTTTTCTGCTGACACCTCCTATCTCAAATTTACATCCAAGGATGATGGCTTAGCGCCTGTTCAGAAAGCTGTCAAGTTGAGATTCAGGCATGACTACTATCTGTAGATCCCTGGAGAGACACTGTCCCTGAGAAATGAATCAAGTGAGAATTCTGAGGTGTTCACTGAGCAGAGTGCCAATTTCCTCATCCTGGATTTAAGTGTGAGAAAAGGAAAGGCGTATTCTTTCCCATTAACCATCAAACTGTATGGGATGGGAGTGAGCAAGATTATTTTATTGTTTTACTTTATAACCCCTCCTCTCAGTTCCAAAGAACTCTAGGCAATGTGCAACATCAAAGAAACAGAAAACAGAACAGTTTCAAAAACAAAAACATAGAAAACAAAATTAAAACTCCCAACTCCGAACCAGGATGGATGCCCATAGTCAGCTAGGGCTCAGAAGTATTGAAATAAAAATAACGGTGGACAGAAATGAAAAGAAAGGTTGAGAAAGTGATTTAATAAGCCGAGATCTAAACAGGAAGGTGGTAGGAGGACACAGTGGCCAAGTCAAGGTCATAAAGCAAACTGTGTAACTGGGTGTTAGAAGTTAAATATCGGATGCAAGACACTTGTATTCCATATGCATTTTACATAGACAACCATGGTAAAAATGTTGTCCAGGTTTCTTTATTATTTCTCTTCTGCACAGAATTTTGATCCCTAAATTCTTTAAAACCACAGCAGAGTTGTTAAAAAGAGCAGAACGCACACAATCTGGACCAACTACATGAAGATGCAGAGATGTGTGTTTAAACAAAAATAAGTCCAAGGGCCTATTCTAAAATAAATGCAGAAAGAATATTGTAGATAGTGTATTTAGTTATGATAAGTTGTACAATTAACTATACACAGTCTTTTCTTGGGAATAAACTTCCAGGACTAGGCTGAAGTGATAATGCATTCCAATTAGTAATATAATATTTCATTTATCTACAGTATTAACGTAACATCTGTGTTGTCCCACTCTTGGCAATCTTATAGTCTAAACATTAATTCAATAAAGTAATGAAAACATTAATAAAACAGGCATGGTGCTCTCCCACTAAGTTTCCAAGGTCTCCAAGGGCTGCTTAACAGTGAAGGTTTTTAAGAGCCCCCTGTAAGGTATAAGGGCAGGAGGCCAGCTCTCTCTTGATCTCATAGAGCTGGAGCTACAGCCAAAAAGGCCTGTCTTCTGGTTCCTGCCCCCTCACTTCATGCTGGGGTGGCTCCCTGAGCAGAACCATTGCTTGATGACTAACAGACCAGACAGACTCATTTTGTATAGATAGTCCCTGAGAAAGCCAGCTCCCATCGGGCAACATGAGCCAGCAGTGTGCTGCAGCTGCCAAAAAAGCTAACACAGTTCTAGGCTGCATAAACAGAGGGATAGATCAAGATCAAGTGAAGTGTTAATACTACTTTATAATGCCTTGGTAAGGCCACTTTTGGAATATTGCATCCCGTTTTGGTCGCCACAATGTAAAAAAGATGTTGAGACTCTAGAAAGAGTGCAGAGAAGAGCAACAAAGATGATTAGGAGACTGGAGGTTAAAACATATAAAGAACAGTTCCTGGAATTGGGTATATCTAGTTTGATGAAAAAAAGGACTAGGGGTGACATGATAGCAGTGTTCCAATATCTCAGGGACTGCCACAAAGAAAAGAGAGTCAAGCTATTCTCCAAAGCACCTGAGGGCAGGACAAGAAGCAATAGGTGGAAACTAATCAAGGAGAGAAGCAACCTAGGACTAAGGAGAAATTTCCTGAGAGTTAGAACAATTAATAAGTGTAAGGATTTGCCTCCAGAAGTTGTGAATGCTCCAACACTGGAAGTTTTAAAGAAGAGATTGGATAACCATTTGTCTGAAATGGTATAGGGTTTCCTGCCTAAGCAAGGGGTTGGACTAGAAGATCTCCAAAGTCCCTTCCAACCAACTCTGTTATTCTATTCTATTCTATTTTTATTTAATATTTATTTAATTTGCAATTCTGATATTTACATACTCTGAAGAGGAATTAAAGTGATTAAACCCAACCAAAATATATAATCAGTACAGAGAGAAGTGCAGAAGTTAAAAGAAGCACTACAGAAGCGTCTACTAAAACACAATTCTGCCTAAACCCAGGGGGCTTTTTGTTTATATGAAACAGAGGAAACGGAGTCTCTTAGGGCAGAACTGCCACTTTCAAAGATGGATGCCTAAAACTGAGCAAAGTTGAGGGATATTTCATACATAGTCAACTCTTTGGGATTGTTTGGATGATCTTCTACCACCTAAAGTGTAGGTAGATGAAATTGCTCTGCTTTGTTTGCTCTAAAAGTGAGTGGGAGCCAGGTTCACATTTGGAACAAGTTTCAGGATTTTTTGAGGGAAGAAATGGTCCCTTAAACCATAAGCCATTCTGCAACAGAATGGCACCTAAATTTCCCCCTTAAAACTCCCCCAAACTCCCCCAGATATAGGAAATAAGATCTGAAGTCCACAGAAAGGATGCAAGTGAGTCATATAAAGCTTCCAGACTGCATCTTTGGGACTTCTGGTCGAGGGTCTAGGCAGCCAGCAAAAAATATGCATAGAACAAAGTCAGAATTCTTCAGGGCGCAAGCAGCATGCTATTCTAATTATTCTCCTCAGATCCTCCACAGCTGATAAATACAGACAACTGTTTGGAATGTAAGTAAAAGCTAGGCCTGCTATGAAAAATGCTGCTGCTTTACCATTCTGTAGGAATTCAACTGGAAAAAAATAGTAATTAGGGTTTTTTTTTAATGATTTTTAACTGTAACATGTATCCTGCTATTCCAAGAAGATAACATAGTCTTGATTACGGCAAGAATTAACCTTATTTATGTTATTACAGTATAAATTGCTATGGCATCATTTTTTTTAATCAATATCCTCAAATTTTTAGAAAATGATGTATGGTTTTAACTGTTTTCTCCTCAGAAACAGGACAAAAAAGGATCAGTGGTACTAATACTTTTAGATAATCATTTTGGTATATCTAGGGTACCATACATAATATAATGAAAAAGATAGCATTTGTACTTATAGGAAAATATGGTTTGTGGAAAAAATATAAGATGCCCTGATTATATGGATGGATGCTTGATTAACTATGTCAAACTGCTGATTTATAAACTGTCCAGAAGAGAAATTCCAGAATTGAGTGTGATCTTCTGAGGTAGGCAGCTGTCTACCGTGTTTCCCCGAAAATAAGACCCGGTCTTATATTTTTTTGAACCCTGAAATAAGCGCTTGGCCTTATTGCCATGCACTTAAAAGCCTGATTGTGCTTATTATCAGGGGATGTCTTATTTTGGGGAAAACAGGATACCTCAGTGTGTAGGTAGACACAACAACTACTACTGTTGTGTTGAAACAGTGAGGATAATTACAAATGGAGAAAAACACAAACATTTCTAAACTGCTTGTAAATTACAGTTGTAATATACATACAGTTATTTAGTGATTCCATGACTAACTTGTCATGGTTATACTTTCAAGAAAATATATACAGTCTCCTTGGATTGGCAGTATGTTCAGTATGTAAACCTATATTAGCAGGGCCAGCTTTAAACTAAGGTTAACCAGACACTGACCTAGGACACCAAAACTTAAAAGGGCACCAATGCTGCCCATCCTTCCCAATTATTTTAAATATCCACATCTCTGCATTGGCAGGAGTTGGCACCATCAATCAATGTGGCTTAGGAGCAGCATAATACCCTTGAGCCAATGCTGCTCCTTTTTTAATTGCATTTTTTATTGGGAAGAAGAAAGGAAGAGATTTAAGAATACACACGTAATATTTAATATTCTTACCTGAGGCAAATCTTTTAAATTAAAATTGAGCTAGTATTATGTGCTTTACTTGGGTTAAAATCTCCATGTTATGTTGAAATGCACATAATACTAGATGTCTATGGAGATTCTCAGTCATCCAGGTCATGGTTGTCCCAAAGATGCTTTTTCAAAAGGTAAGTGGACTTTTTTTTTCCTTGAAGCAGTTTCGGTTCTCATCTAGGAAGCTGCTTGGGTGAGAAGCAAAACGACTTCAAGGGAAAAATGAAGTCCAGTTGCCTTTTGAAAAAGCATCTTTGGGACAACCATGACCTGGATGATTGAGAATCTCCATAGACTTGTTTAGTGTAAGAAAAGGGATGTTTAAGAGATATACTTATGGGAGTGGAGAATGGATAGACTATGAGCATAAAGTCTATGAGAATAAATGTTAAATTAGGATTTATTATATAGTTTTACAGTGGAAGGCTGCTTTGAAATGTTATATTAATATACATAAAAGATTAAACGTTAAATTAGGATTTATTATATAGTCTTAAAGTGGAAGGTTGTTCTGAAATGTTATATTAATATATATATAAGGTTTGATTTAAGAGAAATATGAATGGGGAGGAGAAAAAGGGCAGATTATTGTTAAATGGGGAGTTATAATAATATTACTATGCTAAACCAGAAGTTATCACATAATGTTATAGTAGAATGTTATTTTGAAATGTATAGTAAAAGGGGGATATAATAATATTATTAGAATATTATTAGAAAGAAAGGGTCAGTATTTGGGGGATGGAGTAAGGGGATGGTAAAGTATATAATCTGTTATGAATTTGGATTTTACTTTGAAGAAGAGGTCATAGGGGGAGGGGTGGAGAGGGGGGGTTAGGGAGAGGGGGGAGAAAAAAGGGGGAAAAATCTGTATTTGAAAAACTTTTTCAATAAAAAAAAAAGAGAATCTCCATAGACATCTAGTATTATGTGCATTTCAACATAACATGCAGATTTAACCCAAGTAAAGCCAGATACAGATTTTTTTGCATAATTTGAATGGAGCTGTTTAAGGGGAGATGACAACTGTGAAACTCAGTCTCTATTTGTATGGGTGAAAAGGCTGTAAGTGTAATGCACACATGCATACCTTGTCATGACTTTTTATCCATAAAGTACTTAAATACAGTAAAAGCAATTTCAGGAAGCCTTCAAAGATCCTAATGGGTAATGTGCAGACAAGTTGCCATTTAATCCTTCAGTGCCTTATTTTAGGGTGCAATAAATTGTTTACACATTTAAGATCCTGAGTACATGTTGACAGAGGATTTGCATGCATGACAAAGTCATCAAATGGCCATTTACTTTGCAGCTCAGCTCTTTCTAGCAGTTGGCGGGGCAAAAAGGGTAATCTGCTTTCATTCTAAATTAAAGCCATTTATGCATTTTGTGTCTTACTTACATGTCACATACTTCTTTGACACGTGCAAGAGTTATTTGGTCATTACATCTATACATTACTATGTAAATGGTGGATACATTCTCCAGATCTTTTAATAGCTTGAGGCCACCTGTTGTAAAGCCAACCACATTCACCATGCCATTCTCTTCAGATTCCTTAGATATTTTTGAAGGGTTTTGTTTGGAGATCTTAACCCAAGCAAACACATTTGTTTTATAGGTATCTCTGGCGGCCAAGCAGTCAAATGGCAAGGCATTCTCGCGGCCAACTCTCCCAGCAAACAGACGCTTACCTTCCAGATGGGCCTCCAGGTCTCCATCAGCACCACCAGCAATGAGAAGAACACTTTTGAATGAAATGGCTTGAGACATTTCAGTGGGTCTGAACGTACTTCTGGATTCAGGACTGATGTGAAAGTACCATGTTTTTTGAAACACACTTTTCCATATTCACAACCAGAACTAGTTCTATGCAACTCTACTACATCGGTCAATAATAACTATCTTTTTGACTTGCTGAAAAACTCTTTGGATTCTTGGATCATTCTTACTGTCTTCAGTGTTTTATCAGTTAGATAAGGATTCCCTTTTCCCTGAATGTGTATGTGTATGTATGTATGTGTATACATATATTACTCGTAGTAATTTTTCTTTGAATATCATGTCATTATTCATCTCCTTAATCTGTTTTTAATTTAAATTGAGTGCTGTACATTCTGACTTCCCCCACAAAGGTTAGGAAGAAATGCTGTGTGCATGATCATGTCATGTTAGATGCATGTGTTGAAATAGCAAGTGCATTTAGTTTGTAACTACTATAGAAAAGATTATTGCCATACCAAGATGCCTACGTATAGTCATGCAGTTTTCAAAGTTTGAGATTTGTTTCAAGGTACGTACGAATGAATGAATGAATGAATGAATGAATGAATGAATGAATGAATGAATATATCAATATAGTCCCTGGGAGAATGCATAAAAAGTGACCTGCTGGATTATGCAAAAGCCCATCTAGTCCAACATGCTATGTCTCCCAGGGACCAATACATCCCAGGGAAATATATTCCTGCCAATACTTACATTCTGTATATCTTTTATAGGCTTTACAGGTCTAGTATTTAATATAAAAAAAATTAACTTTATGCATTTTTTAAAAAAAAATGCATGCTAGCAGATAGAAAGTTATTTGCAATGATGTCATAGAAGCTGAATGGACTGGTTTTTCATTCATGCTTCACGTGTCACTTTTAATCTGCCATTCTTGAAATGTTGCAATGCTCAATCTGATGTTTTACTAACATTTTTTTTCCAATTCAAAGCATCTACTTATAAGTATTAGCTTTCCTGAATGTACAAGCATTTCTAAAAAGAACTTCTATTATTTCATTCAGTATTACTGTATATGTCTTAGAAACTAGACTCAGATAATAGCATCAGAAGAAATGGTTGGATCGTGTCAAAATGCCCATCCTGTCCCTGTGACCAACCCTATGCAGTAGGACATGAAGTGGAAAGCCTCTTCTTTACACCCCTAGCAGTTAGTATTTCAAGTAGTCTGTTTTTGGACTTGGAGATAACATGCAGTAGTTCTTGACAGCCTTGGGAAGCTTATTTGATCAGCAGCATGGGTTGAGTCTGGGGAAAGAAGGAGACAGATGTCTACTCAGCATCTCAAAAGTAAAGCTAAACTTATCAAGAGACACAGATCTTTCCATGCAACTTATCCCTTGTCCTGATATGACCGCTTGTGCCAGCTGCACCCAGGGATAGATAAATGTGCATTATAACAATGTCTAGACGTGCAAACAGATAAATTAATGGCATGGAGACAAGCTTTACAAATGGTAGTTGTGATCGCATGATGGCTCATGTAGTTTTTTAATTCCACTTATTAGCCTTTTTCTCCATTTGCCTCAATGTGAAAGTATAGGAAATAGCCTTGAAAGATAGGAGGAAGAGCCGTCAACAAGGAAACGGCCACACAATCAGGTCTTTGAGCCCAGGCTAAAAAAGCAATCTGAGAAAATGTTTTTGACAGGTTCTCCCTAGTTCATCCAGATGAAATGAGCAAAGGGGAAGCACTTCATATTTGCAAGATTCTGTTACTATAGCTGTTACAATAAAAGTAGTCTTGATCTATATGATATTGGTTTCATAGCCTGGTCCACCTTGTGGGACACCCAGTATGTTTTAAAGGAATAGTGAAATCACATACAGAATTAACATTAAGATTTTCCTGGATAAGGATTTCTTCATATGGATTCAATTACTTTCTTATTTGATTGCCTACCTGCACTTAGAGATTCTGGTCTTTAGTAAAGCAAAGTTAAAGGATGGAGGCAGATAGATAAGCAATATTATGGCTATCTGCCATGAACCTACTTTTTTGGACTTGTACTCAGCAGAGACGACAGCTACCAGCTTACCATAATAAATAGAACCAGCTGTGGCGAGTACTTGAATGGAAGCTCACCAGGAATCCCAGCGCTCTATATTAGATGAGAAATCCAAAACAACTGTCAGAAAAAAAATCAATCAGCGGTGGGTTGCTACCGGTTCGACCCGGGTCGGGCGAACCGGTAACGGCCACGGCAGGAGGCTCTGCCCACCCACTCGGACATCTCTGTGCATGCACAGAAGTTTCTGTGTGCACAAGCGTGCGCGCTCCCATGAGCAAACCGGTAGCAGCCGAAATTGAAACCCACTACCAAAATCAATGGCAAACCATTCTACTCTGTTTGTTAAGTGAACAAAGGGTCATGTCTACATAGCTGTCAGAAGTTGAGCTTGATTTAAGGAAGGCTTTATTTTACTGAACTTCAGATAGCCAAGGCAACTCCGTAATTCTGCTCCCTGACTGATAGAAATGGCTGTCAGTTATGAGTTCACTTGATTTTGGCACAAGCTTGACAGAGTGTGTAAATATTGCGTCCAGATGGGATTGCTGTGGTGCCAGAAATCCTAGACGAATGCCATTACAGGCATGTATTTCCCTTAATCTATCTCTGTGTTGTTGGCTGTTGATATGCTATGTATGTAGCCTGGTTTATTTCTCTTACCAGCAACTGAATGAAATATCAATTCTGCAAAGCTGCCTTATTGAAAGTCATTAAAAATCTTCTTCCTCTTTAGGGGTCCATCCAATCATTGAATGGCAATTACCTGGCTGAGCTAGAACAAAGAGTCAGTTCTGTTATATCAGCTTGGTCTTTAATCTCTCCTCCACCACACATGAGAAAAAGTAGCATTTCGGGCCATAACATCTCTGACATATCTAAGGGGTCTGTTCCTAAGATAGCAAAGAAAAGGAGACCCTTCAATTGCTTTTGTGAAGTAATCATGAAACCTTGAAGAAAATTGTTGTATTTTTCAGACAGAAATTATATTATTATTGCCTTGCCATAACACCCGGACAGAATTGCTTGGCATGTATAATGCAGTAATTAATTTTATTGAACCTTCTCACAGAAATCCATAGGTCTTATTCTGATGTGGAGCCCCGTGTCAATGATTCAGTTTCACATTCCCATGTTTTATGATATTGCTATTCATAGTGAGTAACAAAATAGGGGGGGCATGGTGGCTAGCGGTTAAGACGCTGAGTTTATCAACCAGAAGGTTGGCAGTTCAAGACCCAAGTACCATATTACAGGGTGAGCTGCTCCCATTACTCATCCCAGCTCCTGCCCACCTAGTAGTTTGAAAGCGTGTAAAGGCAAGTAGATAAATACCACTTCAGTGGGAAAGTAACAGCATTCTGTGCACCTTGGCATATAGTCATGGTGGGCACATGACCACAGAAGTGTCTTTGGACAATGATGACTCCCTCGGCTAAAAAATGGAGATGAGCACTGCCCCCCTGGAGTTGGCATGACCAGACATGGGAAATCTTTACCTTTCTTTAATGAGTAACAAAAAATACTGCAAACTATTCAATCTTTTTTCTTCCCCCATAAGCTTTGGACATTTTATGAAGAATTGCCCATCCAACTCCAGTGACAAGTTTTGTTTTTCTTTAAGGGAGAGCTAAAATTCTAAGGATGTGGGCTTCTCCAATTCCTATAAATTCCAAGTTATTTTTTTACATGTGTAACTGCTCTGCATAGTAATATATTTGCTTCTTTTTGTTCTCTTACAACTCTGTTATTTGTATACTGGCAAAATAACAGTTTATTGTAGCAATGTAGAAAATACAGAATGCCTTCCACCAATGGATTTCCTGTTCTTACATGGGGACCTCAATATGATCTAGCTTTGCTGGTATAAGAAGCCTCCCCATTTACTGGCCCAAAAAAGTGCCACCAGGGTCCCTCACAGTAATTTCCAGTCAGTGGGAAAGATAATTTTTAAAACAATCTCTGCATTTCCCAAGTCACATCCATACTGCTGCAATTTAGCAGCTTTAGAACATGATACAAGTTCACCCCAGAATTTTTGTCACATACACGTTCCATTGTCAAATCCTGAACAGTAAAAGATGAAATTATTTTCAGAGCCTAGAACAATTTGCTAATCTGAGCATTCACAAATGTTGTTGGGGATAGTAGTTGCAACTGTTGCAAAAAACAAACTCCCTCTGCTCATTTGTCAAACATATGGAAACACCTTGAATCTAGTTTTGGATTTGCCCATCAATATCACATTGATTTATTTAGAAATCAAATCTGACCTTGTGTACCTGGTTGATTTATGTAAAATCAGAACAAAACTGCATCTTGTTTTATTGTTAGTATTGGGAGTCTGTATTTTTGTTGGCATTATTCTTGCTTCTCCACATTTTCTAGCTTCAGATTACAACTGAACTCTTACTTACTTAGCAACCTTTATTTGTTATTGTAATATTAAATGGGAATTGCCTGCAGCATTATCACTGCTGTAAACCCAGTCTGAATCCTTCTAGTTGCTTCAGGATCCCCTTTAAAACAGCCTGGCCTGATTTTCTCCACTTATATAAGGAGTGAATTCCTGCTTGGTGGATCTTCTAGATCTGGTTTTTATTACTGTCCCCCACACACATCAACATACACGTATTGAGGCAATCATTTGTGTAGTCATAACTAGACCTTTCATGAAAATTCATGGTTGCAAAAATGTGACCACACTCTTCCAAAATTTGCAGGGAACAAAAACTTAGGAAGAGAAAGTATTTGTCAGGGTTCCAAGTAACACTCCCAACCAAAGAAAACTCAGAGACTTGAGTTTCCTCAAAGTTCCATTTTATTAGAGATGTCATATTGACACATCTGGGAAAACCCGAATCTGAAAGCTTCCAGGTTTTCCCCACCCAATGGAAAGTTCAAGTCCCTGCCCAACACCTACATGTCCATCACATGGTCCAATCAAAGCACCATCCCAATTGGAGATGCCTCCCAGGTGCAGGGCAAGATGTCCTTGACTTTCTGAGAAAGGAACGTTATTATGACTACATATCACCCTGGCTCCATACAATCCCCCTCCCAGTTTCCCACAGTAGTAAATGTGGCAGGCCTGAAGATCCAATGAAAAAGATGGCTTCTGGGCCTGACAGGATTGTTCTGGAATGCTTGTGTGTCTCTGCACAGTGCCAGAGTACAAAGTACAGTGATACCTCAATACTCATTTTTCTATTATGTGGAAAGAGGAGATGGAGATTTTTATTACTCCAAGAACTGTGGCAGGTCACCTTAGAAATAAATCTGCATAGGATGGTGGGACATACTGCATCATCTAATATTTATGTCCCTGTTATATCTTGAGGTTTCATCAAACTGAGGTTTGTGCCTTAATTACCTTCAGTTAATAGTATCTTGGAAAGGTATTGTTACTGTAAAGTCTCAACCAAATGGCTGCCCATTTCTCCTTACATGATTAAATCTCTATTGTTCAACCTATAATGAGCTGTTGGTTGTTATAGTGTCATTTATTAGAACAGGTCTGCATTTTGGTACAGAATATATTAAATCTGTTCAAATTCTGGGTTGTTTCTAGGAACATAGAGCAATATTCCTTGTTCTGTGAGTATTTTACAAACCGTGTTTAGGATTCCTTGTGTAGGCGGTAGTCACACAACTGCAATAGCTCATTTTAATGCCAGCCCCAGCAGAAAACAAAGACAAATTACCAAAGGATGAGAACTAATTAATTTAGCATGGTAAAATTTTATTCCCAAGACCGAATATGGAAAAATAACAGAGAAGAAATTTAAAAGGATATTGCGCCCCTCCAGCAATTCGTTCTTTCTTTTTCTAAAAATCAAAAATACAAAAGTTACAATGAAAAAACAATATTTTGTCCACAGTTACATTTTTCTATTTGTTTTGTTGAAATGTTCTATTTCTTCTTTTGGAAGAGTGACTTGAAATTTTGCCAAGGTATATAGCCTGCATGATTGAGGGGGTCAACAGTCCCTATAAACACTGTCCATATCGAGTGTTCTTTAATCTTAGCTAATCTTTGTGCGCAATGGCTCCTTCACGGTCCCTTACATAGAAGTTGTCAGACATTGTCACCTTGTCTGAGTTGAAATAGAAAACCCCTACACAGCTTAGACGCAACTGCAATTTCTGCAATAAAATATGACATCTGCAGCAAGGGGGGGAGAAGAATTAGATCTACGTGCTTTTTGCTGTTGACAACTTCCATCCATTCACAGTTGCAGAACTGAGACTTAGCAATAAAAACAAATGCTAGACTGAGGCCTAATACAAAGACCAAAACTTGATTCTGCTTCATATGGTAGTACCTGCAGGCTTCCCCCACTCCCCAATGAACCAATTTTGGTCCCCTGGAAGTTTGGACCACGGTATGAAGCTAGTACTATTATAATTTGATGCCAGTATTCTTTTACATCTAGAACTAAAGAAAACTAAACTATGAGAACTGAAACCTATTCCTCCTTGGATCAGATAAAAACCCATTCTCAGAGAGGCCAAGAAGCTAATGAGAAGGATATGATAGTGGTAATCCACTTCCACAGTGGATCAACAGTAGTGGCATTTAAGAATACAGTTTGTGATTCAAGGAGCAATATACTTCTTCAGTGGAGTAGCTGCTGATAAGTCTATCATAGATTTGTTGTGTCCTTCTAAAGCAATTAAATTGAGGGCTATCAGAAGAATTATCTCCATATTTGTATGAGGTGGTTGCGAAGCACTTCTTTTAATTGGTCCTTTCCATTTATTTTATTCATTATTTTATTTTTAATAATGGTCCTTTCCATTTAGTTTCAGTGGATTACTCTGAGTTGAAATCATAGGAAGGGGGAAAGAATTTTATCTCCTCTTTTTTATATCAAACATTATATATACAGTAGTTAACTTCTTTCTAAGCAGAACAACAAAACAAAAACACAAATGTCATTTTTCCTTGCTGTACACGTTTTCTAGTCTTTTGGTTAACTTCTTTTTGCCATTTTTGCCAGTTCAAGGATTTACTATAAAATGTGCAGTGACCAAAACTGTATACTCCAACTATTATCACGCCATAGATTTATAGAAGAGCATTAATATGTTAGCAATTTGGAGTACATTTGCAACTTATTATGGAACGTACTCTCCCTTTATAGCAATTGCACTGCTATCTCCAACTCCATTAGGAAAACCATTGCTGTTGTTGTTCTTATTGCCATAAACTTGCTTTCATTCAGTTTGCCATTCAGCTAGTTGGAGGTCTTTTAAACCTTGCAAGTCTGGCAAAATTAAGAAACAAGAACCTCTTAGACTTGTAGAAAGTTATTTATTGCCAATATGGAACTGTAGTTTGAAGGATTGTCAGAGCAGTTCTCCTTATTAACTTATGCTCAGCATAAATCAGGCAGAGTTGCTCTTTTTTTCTCCACACTTCCCTTCCTTCTCACTTGGGTTGGATTTGTCTTCCACAGTTGTACTGTGTTCTTCTTTCTTTTCTCAGAGTTTGCTAGATATTTCACCACACTATCTTATCCAATAAAGGAGAATATCTGTAGCTCAGGGTTGAAATTTATTATTTATTATTATTTATTAATTCAATTTATATGCCGCCCTTCTCCGGAGACTCAGGGCGGCTTACAATGCATTAAAAAAAAAACATCATTAAAACATTAAAACCCATATACACCATTCATGGCCGGATCTCACAAGATAACAACAGCGAGATCAACGGCCCCAGGCCTGCC